ACCAAGACCATGGTATTTGACAGATCCTCACAGGGGCACATAACCAACATTATGATAAATGGTCTCAGACTTCAAACGGTGCAACACTACATCTACCTGGGCAGAGAAGTCAACAACCAACTGGACCACTCAAAACAAATAAGAAGAAGAATAGAAATCGCCAGAACTGGATTTCTAAATATGCGTAAAGTGCTATGTCATCCGAGACTATCAATAACTCTCAGACTAAGAGCACTTAAATGCTACGTATGGGCTCTATTGCTTTATGGCTGTGAGACATGGACACTTAAGCAAGACGACATCAAGAAACTCAACGCATTCGAGATGTGGCTTTATCGACGTATGCTTCGGGTCAGTTGGACAAGCCACACAACTAACGAGACGGTGCTACGTAAAATGAACACACGAGCACACTTGTACACGCTCCTTAAAATACGTAAAACCGCTTACCTCGGACACATCATGCGCCACCAAGAGCACGAACAGCTTCGGCTGATATTGGAAGGGAAGATAGAGGGTAGACGGAACATAGGCCGAAAGAAGAAATCATGGCTGAGAAATATCCGGGACTGGACCCACACAGATGGAAATGCCCTCATACATCAAGCCCAGAACAGAGAAATGTATGCCACAATGGTCGCCAACCTCAGCAGAGACGGCACTTAGGAGGAGGAGGACATACAGCCACAAAAAGTAGAAAATTAAATTTATTGGGAGCCATGGAGAGTAACAAAATGAGACATTCAAATGTATTGCTTAACGATCATTTAGATTTAAATACCTCTCCTTTATTGAACTTAAATTCTCACAACATTAATTAATAAGGTTTTATGGTCATTTTTCGGTATATACAGTAGCAGGTAGTTTGTAAATATTACATTTGATAAAGACACGATGTTGTCGAAACAATTCAATTCAAAACAACAAAAATCTGAACTTTTAGTTCTTATTTATTTTTATTGCCATCACCTTAAAATGTAAACAATGCCATCTACCTTGATATATCTATGGTCACTCATGTTCAATAGTATTAAAAATTGTTTAGTCTCTTGATATCTTTTTTTTTATCTGATATATTTATTTAGTCAATGCCGAGTAAAGACTTCGACGGTTTCCAATTACTATTGGGTTCGAAATTTCCAAAAAAGCATAATAAAAATAAATAATTCATCTACATTACTTTAACTAAAATAAAAGCTCTTTCTTGGGATTGCATTTTTTGTATTATCATTTCCATCGTAGAAAATTGCGTATCATTCTGAGCGTATTATATAAACTTTTTTGGAAAAGTTGCTTAAAATTTTCTGAAACATCCACGTAAGAATTATCGTTTAAATCCAAATTCAGTTAGTTCAAATCCAAGTTTAGTCAGTTAAAGTGAACGCACTATATAAGCAACTCATTTAAACCAAATTCAATAAAAAAAATTCTTATTGGGAAAAGTTGGTTATGGGGAAAAAAGGAGTATACGAATTCCCAAAGTCTGGAAAACATTTTTATTTATTTCTTTTACTAACTAAACAGTGTAAAATTAGTAATTTGAGTTTTATTTATCATAAAGGCGTACTTATTAATTATATTTGAATAAACTAAACAATCAAATTTATAAATCTTTGGCTTAGTACAGCACTTATTGTCAAAACATATAAAAAGAATTACAAATATTATTATATATAATATACCATTTTCAATGTCCTTTAAAATAGATAGTTTATCTTTTAACGAAATTAAACGTCTTGTTTTTCTTCTGATTCGTATTTTATGGTTGAATTTAAAGCACAACAACATTAAAATTAATTAACAGAAACTAACAAAAATTCACTTCAATAGTGGCCACACAAAACACAAACATATTCCAATAACGGTTTTACATTTTGAGGTTATATTTTTGTGAACAGATGATTCTACTTCTGATTGGTCTAACCTTAACTCCAATATTTAGCTTTAAAAAAATAAGTTGCTTATACAGAACAGTTGAACTAAAGTATATAGATTTTGCTTATATAAAGGGTCCGGCTGTTTTTATTTAAAAATTAACATGAAATATGGAATTCTGTGCAAAAATGTTTTTATTTTTAAATCGCACCAAATATGGTTTCAGAGAATTCTTCTGAAATATTTTTTTTATTGAATATGCTTCACGTTTTTTTGTCAAAATTTTGGCCGTTTCGATCTATTCCTAGTATTTTATATATAAATCACTTACAATGTTAATTGTAATCCGCTTTGTAGTCTAGGTTTCTACGGCGCAGTGGCTGTTATACGCAGGACCGCGGTTCAAACCTGATCGAGAAACGCACTTTTTTCTAAATAATATTATTTACAAAAATAAAAAATATAATATATAATGTAGCTCTGCTTAATCTTACCAATCAAAACCAAAAAAAGAAGTTGGGAAAACAGCACAGGGAGTCTTGGTTTCATCACAATTGCAGAATATTTATCAGGATTTATAAGGGCTTTTAAGACCTTTGTTAGAAACCTGAAGTAACCAACACCAAAGGTTTTATAGAGAAATTAACGGAAACATTTTCGATGCAATGTTATACTATACAACTTAAAATATTTCGGTATTTATTGGACCTTGTCATAAGCAATGGTTTATTTATAATAAAGCCTTCTGCTGTGTTTCATCAGGGAAACTTAAAGTGTCTATTCGCGTGTTTTTTTTTTGGTTAGTTTGGTTTATAGGACACCCTGTAAACTAAAATGCAATTTTTCCGCCTAGATTTTATCGCGAAAGAATGTAACAGCAGTTAACAACGAATGAAACGCGCGAAATGCAAAGTATTTCTGTTGGAAAAATGCACTGTGGCAAGGTCGGCTGCGAGAAGTGAAGGTGTCGGTGGAAATATGCAAATCGACCCGATTGCATTGTGCTACTTTCAATCCGCAGACTCTTTTTTAACCGCATTGAGCTTTTATGGCGGTTTTCACTTTGTACACGGGATGTCCATTTGCGTCGGAAGATATACATGGACTAATCAATTATGGTCTATTCATAGAAATAAGAAAGTGACTAATTGCTTTTGAATGGGATTATCCATACAATGCAACAACATTATTACCTAAAATTGTGGTCCGTAATAGCAAATAATTTTATACCTACCTGTGTTTTGGTATAACACTTACTTTAAGTTTATTAGGAATCATGCTTATTTCGTGTGTAATACAGCGTGTGTTGAATCGTGTGCGAATTATGCAAAATATGTGCGAGTCTAGTGTATCTCAGGAGATGCTCCCGCCCAAATGTAGAAAACACCATTCTATTGAGACTAAGGAAGTTATAAACAATGTTTATTTAACTCTCATTGAACGTCTTACCAGCAAGCAAGCATCTTTAGAAGAAACAGCCACATTGACGAAAATTCCACCATCAACTGTATGGAAAATAGTGAATAATCCCATTTCAGCGAGGAAAAAAAGGAGCGATGCTGACATTTTCTCGAGTGTAGATGAAAATGATCAAAAATTTACCAGTTATACGAGGAACAAAGCGTGCCTACATTAGATATCTTAATTACGAGGCTTGAAAAAGATGAAATGTGAATGAAACGTGGCAGAACTACTTTATGGAAGTGTATTCAACACAAGGGTTTTAGATTTAAAAAAAGTGACAAAAGGCAAGTTTTAATGGAATCTTTTAGAATTCGGAAATGGCGATTGGAATATCTAGAAAAAATTAGGACTTACAGAGAACAACAAAGGCCAATTATTTACTTGGATGAAACCTGGTTCGACACTTACCGGATCAACGGAATAGAATAGAATAGAAAATAAAAAATCTAAATTAAAATCCTTGGCTTACTGAAATGTGTGAAGATCATGGCATACTATCTTGCACTTTCTGTACTATTTTTAGTGTTAGTGTTGTTGATCTTTACATTTGTTATTGTTCACTACTGTGTTATTTATAAAATACGTTTTTCTTTTGGACCTTTATACTTTTTACATTTTGTTTTTGTATTTTACTTTATATAGACAGGCTGCAATTGTATTATTACTGTACAATGTGTGGTTAATAAAAAATTCTTCTTCTTCTTGTTAAAATTCTTCTGAAAATGAATCTACAGAAGTTACCGGACAGCAGGTGTGTTTCTAATTTATACAAATCCAGTTCTCTCTCGAAATTGCTGAAATTGTCTATAAAAACTTCTGAAATATTGTTTAGGATTTTGAAGCCCGTGATATTTTGTATTACTGACATAATTTTTTTATAAGCAACAGAGGCAATTTTGTTTTCACAAATTATTTTTATAATTTTTTTAAGTAAGTTGTCAGCATAAAATATACCAGCGAGTTTTATTTATTTGATTTTATTTATAAAATTGAACGCGTGAAGGTGCTTTTAGAACTACTTTTTTGAGTTGGTCTACTGTAGATTCTGCTACCCTACTGATACCGTGAGCCAAACAAATTACACGAAATAGGTTAGAATGAAACAATTTTAAATTTTATGCAAGCTAATAAACTGAGCACTGTGACAATCGAATTTTGTACTGGAATTTTTAAATTCAAATCAATGTAAACCAGAAAATGATGGGTATTAATTTTTGTCAATGGTTTTTGGACCATTATCCCTTTGGCCCAGAAATAGTATGTTCGGGCTGGTAAAGATCCCCATGCAATTGTGGATCTCAAGAATATTTTCCGATGAATGTTTGGGCTGAAATTGTTGGGAAGTACATAATTTTACCATTTTTGCTACCAGAAAGGTTAAAAGGCCATAATTATTGCCGATTTTTATATTTAATTATAATTACTTATTAAAAAGTATTTAATAAAAAAAAACGTTACTAGTTAGTAAATATTTTTCTATCGATAAAAAAATTGTTATTGGTATTTAAAAGATTTTCGAAAAATCCATACAATTATCCAAAAAATTACACTTTTAATAAATTCATTATTATTCGGTTATAATAATATGGATTTTTTTTTGAATTTTACAATGTACAAAAAAGCAGAAAACACCCTGTGTAATTACATTTGTTTTGTTTCAGAATCAGTTTGGAGCTCCCTCTGATGCGCACTGACCCCCGCCCAATAACAAAGTCTGTTACGGCGAGGAACGGTGGTCGAAAAAAAGGCACTATGTGATTGGTTGGCCGCGAAGCTCCTCAAATGTTTAACCCGCAACTTAGACAATGATATCGTCGGTGTATATCAGAGCATGTTTCTGGGTTATCGGCTTCTCCTCGCTCGGTAAGCGACCTTCATTCCTTTGCTTCGTTTCCGGTGATCGGACGATTAGCGCTTCAAAGAATTTGGCAAGAATACGATCGAACTGAAAATTATGATTTGCTGGGCACTGAGTGTCCCCGATTTTTATATTGAGAAATGTTGCTCTAGAGTTAATTTGCTGATGATAATATTAATGGTTTTTCAAAGAAACTGCCATAGGCTACTGTAATACTATTTACGAATCTTCTGGATTCCTCCTGCGTGGGTTGGTTATAAATCGAACTTGCTAATTATTCTGTTGGCTTCCTCAGAGCTTAAATGAGAATAAAGCACTCCATTTAAAATCAAAATTATGGAGCACCTACGTTTATTACCAATTACCAATCATCTCCAACTTCCTTATTAAAACTTTTTACAGGGAAAACTGATAGTTTCGTACTTAACTCATTTCACTTCATTGAACAATTGATAAGATGGACAAAATATTCTGTTTTTTTTTTGACGTAGAATTCCTCTTTACTAAAGTTCGTAGCCCTGAAATTGTCACCGTCATTTCATATATATTGAAATCCAAGAATCTAGGACCAAACCTTTTAATCCTAATTGAAAAATGCTTGTTTGGAATATATTTTCCTATAACGGTCAAATTTTTGAACAAACGTCGGGAACAGTTATGGGTCTCCACTATCTGCAGTCATCGCGAATATATTTCTATGATACTTTTGTTGTTTGGCCTCACAGTCAAGAATCCCTAGTAATTATTATACTTCTCAAAATACGTTTTACTATTAAATTAGAAACTAACAATAACCTCCCATTTTTAGATATTCTTATCAATAGAAAACCAGACCTAACAGAAAACCGATGTACACAGATCACACATTGTCACCATTGTCACCATCCGGTCCAACAATCTGGTTTACAGCGCAGCAAAACTATCTTAACCCCAGAATTAAATCAGAATTTATCTGCTCTCCTCTTTATAGGACTTGATAATGTGCCATCATATATAATAAAATGAAGGATTTTTTAATTCAACCCCTGACAATACTGTATAATCTTGCCATGATATACATTATTATGGTCAATTTCAAAAAGGGCGATGAAACAGTAAAAAAAGTGTGTAACACCAAAGATGTCCACATTTCAACATGGTTTTATCAAAAATAGGTCAACTGTCTTTAACTTGTGTAATATAACTTAGTATATACGGAGTTAGGCTTCCGAATCATTTAAAGGCACTTCTGGGATTCCTCAGGGCTCTAATCTGGGGCCGCTACTGTTCATTATTATTAATTTGCATAAAATTTTGTGTAAAAAATAAAATGCAGTGAGGCAAAACACTTGAAATGTTGGCAACGGCACATGGCGAATCTACTTTGAGCAAAAAAAATGTTTATTACTTTGAAGGACACACACACACACAGACACCTAAAAGTCAAGTTACTTTTTTAACACACCTTGTATGTTATACGTAAATAAATTAATAATTATACTAATAACAAGAGCAGTTATATCCACCTACTGCCCAGTTTTAGTATATAATATTTTAATATATAGTGTAATGATGGAGCTATTTTATTTATTTACGAAAATGTCGCGCCTTGTAGAAATAATTACCAATTACAATTTCAAATTACGTCGCAAATCAAGTGTGTTGCGAAACGAATGCCGGCAAAGAGTGACCTTTTCTTGAAAACCATTTTACGGTTGAAAAAGCACGACGCCGAGCGCTTTTCGGTATGCATATATATATGTGTAACATTTTTTTTTCTAAAAGCTTATTTTAATGACGCCGTGTTGGAAAAAATGCGGAATGTTTATACAGCGAGAGGAGGGAAAACGGCGGGAAAACAACAAACTGACCTTGATAATTTCAACAGGCGACGAAACTATTTCTCTTTTTCTGGTTCGATCTTAAATATACGAGTGTCAGTTGAAAAGTTTCCCACAATCCACGAATTACGTTTGAACTGCTTGACCGTCCGCCTGATTCACCGGATCTAACCCCAAGCGACTTCTTTTTGTATGAAAACCTGCCTCCGAGGACAAAGATTTTCATCAAATGATGAGGAAATAGTACCTTCGTGAACAATTATCTTGCGGAGAAAAACACTGGGTACTATTTAGAGAGAGAGAGAGTGATTGTGTCATGTCGGAAACTTTTCAAGTGACCCTCGTATTTGGAAATATTTTAGGCCCGTTTTGGTAACCAAAAATCTATCCCACATAACAGTTGTATATAGAATATACTTAGAATGTGGGTTATTTATATTACGCAGGTTTTTAGAATATACAAAGTATCTCCAACTCCGCATTCTATTTAACTACTTGCTATATGCTGCATATACGTTCTTATAAAGTCTATACACGTACCTGGTATATCTTATGTTTTATAGCAAAGTTCCTATAACATTTACAAATTTTACAATACCGTTCCTCTCTCTTTAAAAGCCTTATTACAATTAAGCTTAAAAAAAAAGACAAGAAAAGTTCAGCCAACAAGCAAATTGCAAGTGATTTTCGAGTAAGTCCAGTACTAAAATTTTCTATCCAATTTTTAATTTTTATATACACACCCACATAGAAATAATTTCATCAACCCACACTGGAACCTGTTTCGGTGTGATTCTAGCAATCTGGGCCACGAGAATGAAAAGAAGAAAAAGAAGAAGAAACAGACAGAAAGATCGTGAGCTGGTAAAACAATTGCCTATCTATAAGACACAAATCAGTAAGTTCTAGAATATTTGCGAAACGCCTCCTTTAATTAGTGCTAAAGAAGACGTTATTTGGACAAATCGAAAGTGAATAAAAAGTGCTAACTCGCCACGATAACAAAGAAAAATTGGTCTGAAGAGAAACCGTCTAACGATTTCACATGCAGGTCCAAATAGCTAACCACTTTCTAAAGGTTGCACCACCGACGTCGCCGATGAAGATGGCGTATGATATTTTGTCCACTTTTTCGGAACTCGAAGCGTATTGGTTCCGAAGGTCGTCTCCATTGTCGGAGTTACGTAACGGTTCGCTACGCGTCGGCTGATTCGGGGTTCGTTGAACATTAACCAAGAAAGTTTTAAAATAGACTATAGTCAATAGTTTGGTTTCAAAGCTTATGAGAAAATGGTAAATACAAAAGTTGGAAAGGTTGTTAGGATGCGAATTTGTATACAAGGTGACTCAAAAAAGCGTGACGAATAAAACGTACAACACCACCTGTATTTTTTTGTTCCTGAGATTTTAAATAAATAAAATGTCAATAAAAAGTACAAATTTCGGAAATGTAAACCAAAAAGCAATTGAAAAGAGAAAATCTTAGCTATGAAAAGGAAGATTTGATCGATTGTGAGGATGGTTGTAAAGTTAGCAAAAAATATGTAAAATGTCACAAAAAGGCGAGGCTATGATGCCGATAAAATTAAGCTTAGTTCTCACTCTTTGATATTTTCTTACGGTTTGAAAAATGTTAGTATTTTATTCGTAAAGTGCGTATACTTCAAAAAATTAATAGAAGTTTATTATACGAGCACAGGGATTTTTCGTTTTGACTCACCCTGTATAAACGATTCGAACTGTCTTCAAGACAAGTATAGGATTAATAGCTGCACTACTTTGTATATGTTGGCATAAAAAAATTCGTCGAAAATATAGGTGACGAAACACTCAGTATAGACCGTAACAAAATATTGAGTGATTTAGTTTAAAGGGACTATCTACTAATGCCCTCATATACAGGTTGTTCGATTTAAAAAATATTCATAAATGAAAATAATGTTTCTTTAGTCTCATTTATAACTTTCGCACACCCTGTATATAGTATTCTAAAACAGGTCACGGATTTCCCTAACATTTTTTGAGAATAGTTTCGATATGAGCCTCAAAGTTTAATTTGTTGTCAAGAACAATTCCCAAGTCTTTTATATGGTTAACGTTTTTCAACTGTTTATTATCACGCATTGAATTAATATTTCAAGATTCAAGATTAATCGGTGGTTTCGGAATTAAATTTGAACGAATCCCTTTTTTTACTTTTAATTCGACGCCAAAAGAGCACCAACAGAATTTCGAAAATAAAAGCAACATCGAAAACAAAATTAAATATTGCGGGCCCAGATCAGATCCCTGGGGAACACCCGAGGCAGCATAACCTGGAAAACAGTGTCAAATATCAAGGCATGCTATTGGACAGCCACCTGAAATGGGATAATCATATTCAAACACTAGCTAGAAAACCAGATCCCTAGTCTATATTTTTAAACTAACAAGACAAATTGTTTCAATCAAAGAAAAGTAATCTTAAACAATTTGATGTTATTCAGAAAAGAGTCCTGAAAGTTAAATTTCAACTTGACCGACAACTATTCGGTATAAAGTAACTATGATTCCTATGCGGAAAAACTCAACACACACCACAACAACAACCACATATCTCATCGTCACTTCACTAGAGAAAAAACGAAACAAAACTTAACACAACCGATTGCAAGGAAAAGTAACATCTAAAGGGCCTCACAGTCATTGACTAAGTTTAAAGCTACTTTGGTTTCTCCTCCCTTCTTTTGGTCAGTTTATCTTTGTGGGCTGGAGTTATATATTTTATTTTTTCTTGGTTATTTGCGAAATAAATAACACATAAGATCGCAGGCGAGTTTCGCAAATCAAACTTAATTGAGAGTTATGAATTCTATCACAAATGTTATTATGATCTCTAATTTCTAACTTAATAGAACAGATGCTCTCTATATATATACACATCGGGAAGTGGGAAAGGGAATTACGCACTGTTCACGCAACCAATCAGCGCATATAATGGGCTAATTGGGATTATTGTTGAACATATGTTCGGCTACACTTGATTTTTCTAATCTACCAAATTTTAAATGAGCTAAATGTTCCTTAAATCTAACATTAATTGATCTTTTGGTTTGCTCTATATATGACTTGTCACAATCGTTACAACATATTTCATAAATTCCCGACTTTTCAAGGGAATCTAGTTTGTCCTTGGGATTACCCAAGAGATTTTTTAATTTTGATCGGGATTGATAGACACTTCGAAGACCTGCGGCCCTGAAGACTCTATCAAATCCACTTGTATATTGGAGAGAGAAAGGAATTGAGACTACTTTTAAATTTTCCTTATCAGCTTGAAAAGTCGTTGATTTTTGAAGTTTGTTTTTGTTGTGTTTAGATTTACAGAGTTCCAATCCCATTTAGCCCATTATACGCGCTGATTGGTTTCTTGAACAGTGCGTAATTCCCTCTCCCACTTCCCGATGTGGATATATGCTGACATTTTCTCGAGTGTAGATGAAAGTGATCAAGATATAATACGGCGTAAAATTTGCGAGTTACAGTTGCCGGTACTGGAGCGGCTGCTCTTCACTATTTTCATAAATGATCTACCGCTGCCTGTACCCAATGCAAACGTGACCCTGTTCGCGGATGACACTGCCGTTCTCTCAACGGCCGTGAGGGTCCTTCAGCAGTGGTTCTCTGCACACAACCTAGTCCTTAACCGGCAAACAACTCAAGAACTTACGTTCTCTTGTAGCAAAGTAGCCATTGTTCATTAAGACAGTGTTAATCTACTAGGATTTGTTATGGACAGAACGTTGTCATGGACCGGCCAGATCGACGAAGTCTGCGCCACACTGTCCTGGCGTTTGTTCCTGTTAAGACATCTCAGCCACTGTCTAACAAGGTTTTCCCTAAGAACGGCCCACTTCGGTCGGTGTTGTGTTGTGGGGTGGGGTAAGATACTCGGAAAAAGGCTTTCGTTTTGCAAAAGAAGGCCATGCGGCCACTTAGCGGCGCTGGTGCGCGTGAACATTGCAGACCCATTTGTCGCTTTGCTATCTATATGTTTGCATTCCACTTTATTTAATATTTACATCTTATCTATCATCTAGAACTATTTTGTATAATTTAATGCAATTTGTTTGTACTTTATTAATGTTTATTTTATATATTTTTTCCACCATTGTGATGGAAGCACTCTTGACGTACCATTTGTTGTATTTGTGACTTATCTGAATGGTTAATAAAGTTGTATTCTATTATTATTATTATTAATATTATTATTATTAATTAAGGATGGTTTGTGTTCGCCCATGGAAAATTGCCCCCACCATTTAGCGTGTCCACTTAAATAAACGACTTCGTTCTCGACATTTACGAGCCGATTTGCGAAACAAAACCGATAATTGCAGAGCAACTTGACGGGAAAGGTAACAACGGACGGTTGAAAAAGGGAGGGGAGAAACCGAATGAATAATTTATTAAGGCGTTTGTCGCGTCTCAAAATTTCTGACAGACAGCGTGACGGCAGCAGCGTCGTCGGTTAGTTACTTAGAAAATCAGACCTAACATTGGGTCGACGTTCGTCGTTTATCAACTCTCTTGTTTACAGAGCCCTTGAACTATCTCACCTAGAAGCGTTCCATCACAAAATACACTTCACCACAACCTATCAAAGGCAATGAGTCGGAAAGCAATCCCACACTTGCCACTGTTGTCCTTCCTTACCTTCAAAACCTCACTGATCACATACCAAAAGTTAAATTTGAAGTGAAAGCCAGATTCACCCACTATCCAAACATCTCTCAACATCTACCATCCGTCAAAGACAAAATTCCTTTTGAGATAACATGAGTTTACAGCATTCAATAAATAAGGTCATCAAAAAGCCTTAAGCCTTAAGAAAATCTATAGAAATCCAAAGGGAACTAAACAATACGGGAATCAGTCATCTGAGGTATTGTTCATGCCCCTTCTTTAGCTCCGCCCCCTCAAACAATATATAGGCAGGTACAGAGTAGAATGTTAAGCTTTCAGCAAATTCGACGTAGGAGGAGGAAGATTTGTAATTAGTAACTGAGGATAATTCTTAAAATACGAGGCGTTGAACTTTATTTAAAAAATAACATTTTTATTTATAAATTTCGCAGATTTTCACATATTTCGCTGAAACTTAGAAAGCTAAAATGTTATTTTAAGTATTACACGTAAATTTTCTATATCAAAACTTCGTAGTTTCGGACTAAACAGGATATAATTTCTCCCCTATTACCTCAAAAATTTTCTCGATGTGCGCCCATGGCCTCGAGACTTAGTTCGTTCAATAAATAAATAATAAATGGGTAATATTTCTCTCTCGTGCATTTTTGATGACATTCGTCGATTTTGGGACACTGTATTAAATCCAAGAAAGACTATTGGTAATAGATGAGATGGTACAAAGTGTGTGTGTACGTTGTAGCTTAATTTAAACTCGGTTTTCCGAAAATAACCGAAAATTAATAATTTCTTTTGAATTTTTTCCTGACCACAATTGAAAAAAAAATTCAGCTTGAAGTGAACCTAACCGCATATCAAAAGTTTTTAAGAAATTTAACACCAAACCTGTCTAAAATCTTAGATTCGTCAAATACCAAATTGCTTTTGAGATACCAGGAGTTTACAGCAATCCATGCATTGGAGAGATAGGGCGAAAAATATCAACTAGGCTCAAAGAACAGGAAAGTGCAGAACACAATCACGCAATCAAACTCTGTTATAAATCTATAAGGAACCAAACAGTCTTGACCGCGAGTCAGGTCTTCTTCCTTTCACCAGTATACGCCATCCGAGATTTGAAGTTGGTTTTCAGTATAATGTTTCCAAACAAATGCATATATCATGTGTTTATAAGTTTCGCAATAAAACCAAATTTACAGAAAAAAAAGAAAGGCATGAAATCTATTTGAGACATTGAATGAAGAAAACTTAGTTTTTCACTCATTAAAATGTGTTAAATAATGATCGAGATGCCTAATTTTTATTGTATCTTTTGCCATCGTTTATTAAATTGACACCCTGTATATTTTACATCCGATTTTACAGGTATTTGTCGCAGATTTGAAGGAATATCATTACAATGTATTTAAATTTCGGAATAACAGCAGCCTTAGTGATTATTTGGGTCTCTAAGAACGTCAGATAGGAAATGGAGGAACTATTGGTTGTTCAGTGAAGACCCAGGACTTAACATTAATGTTTTGCAATCGTTTCTTTCGTAAAATAGTTTTCCCCGACTCGATTTGAATATCGTTAAGTATAGTACAGGAAATAGTTTTTTCTGCTGTGTATTGTAAATAAATAAATAAATAAATAAATAAACAACTAAATAAATAAATAAATAAAATAAAATAAAGTTACAATTATATTCGGTGACGTAGAAATAACTAAAGATCAAAATAAAGCTACAATTTTATGCCGTGACGGGCTCATTTGAACCCTTATTTTAATAGCAGTTACAAAACATTGTATATTTCGGCTACATATTTTTGTAAATAAATAAATAAATGAAATACAGTATACTATAATAGTAGTGGAAATAAAATAATCCTGCGATTTATTATAGTGACATATCGAAATTAGGAACTTTTACTTTAGTACCATGTAGCTCATATGTGCAGTTAAAATACATAAAAAAATACATAAATAAATAAATAAATAAAATAAAGATGCAATTTCTTGTCGTGACGCACTCGTACCAAAGGTCTCACGTCTTATTTTAATACCAGTGACAAAACAAGATATTTTTTGGGTAACAAATTTTTGTAAATAAATAATTAAATATACGGTGCGATATAATTTCAAGCGGCAATTTTATATCGTGAGGTAGAACTAACAAGTTCAAACTCTTACTTCAGTACCATTTAATTTTTTTCTGAGGTACATTTTTCTAAATAAATAAATAACTAAATAAATAAATAAATAAATAAAATGAAAGTGCAAATTTATGTCGTGACTTGACAAAGATCCAAACTTGTGCTTTAGCACCATCTAGAAGACATTTCTATAGCTTATATGTGCAAATAAATTCATAAATAAATGTGGAAATAAAATAAAGTTGTAAAACTCTTGCTTTAGTAGCATTTAGGTTTTTCTGAGATTGCACAAAAATAAATAAATAAATAAAATGAAGTTGCAATTTTATATCGTGACATAACAATGATCCAAATTTTTGCTTTAGTATACATTAGGTTTTTTTATTTAGCTAAATAAATAAAAAAATAAATAAATAAATTAAAGGTGCAATTTTATGCCGCGATGGACTCATTGCAAAGATTCGAACTCTTATTTTAATACAAGTGACAAAACATTATATTTTTTGGTAACATTTTTTTTTTAAACAAATGAAATACTGCGCGATACAATATGAACGGGAATGAAGTAAAGCTGCAATTTTATACCGCAAGGGATACAACAAAGGTTCAATTTTTGATTTAGCGCAATTCAAGTTTTTTCTGATGTATATGAAAGTGCGATTTCATATGGTGGCTTAGCAAAGGTCCACATTCTTACTTTCTTACCATTTAGTAAAATATTACGTTTCTTTGTTGCCAATATTTATTAATAAATAAATAACCAAATAAATAAATTAAATAGAATCGTCATTCCACTCTAGTGAATAAAAACTTTTAAATATGCAGACGCTTGAGTTTATTGTAAAAACTGAAGTTTACGTGGAGACCTAACTTGCGGTTTGTTTCAGCGGGGTCCCTCCCCTGGGTAGACCAGTCCCTGGAACGATTAGACGAGCTCAACGACGCTGAAATATACAATGCGGTGGTGAATTCCATGAACGAGTGGCAAAGGAAACACGACCTCAAGAAGTCGACGAACAGGTTATTATATATCAATGTTATAAATAATTTATAAAATATAAATAATACATTAGGGTGTTTAGAAAAACGCCCCATTTGTTATTAATTATTATGCTTTTACAGATCTTCTACTTCCGGTAACGTCTCCATTTTTATTGATCTTAACACAGAAAACCTCTCAATCAGAGGAGTTAAAAAATATATTCATTTCGTTTGGCTGGAACCTACCAGGAAGTCTAAATCAGTAGATTCCTATTTGGACAATGTAATTTCAAATTTTCCTAGTTACCGGATAAGTGTCATAGTTTGTGATCCCGTTTTGTCAGATCATTTGGGGCAATTAGTAAAAGTTAATTTGTCGGTATTTTGTCGTAATCGTTAATAAATAAAAAACGTGTAACTGCCTTCGGCAACAGTCTGGAGCATATTGAGGAGCCCGAACTTGTCAGTAAAAAACAAAGTGGCGTAGAGTTTTGTTCTATGTATATTGAACAACTTAGGGGAGCTGTCGATAGTTTCTTTCTCATTGTTAACTCAACTATCTATCGTTCGCCAATTAAATGGTTCATATTTTCTGTCTTACAAAAATTACCATAGTTCAAAAAGTAACCAAGACTTTCATGCTTATAAACGGTTCCACAAAGAATATCGTCACACTATAAAAGTGGAGAAAAAGAAAACTTACGATGACATAATTCTCAGTTCAAATGAAAAATCTAAAACGATACGGAATGTTGTTAATTGAGGGAAACGGTCTAAGCACAGTAACTCTATTCAATCATCAGTTACTCCGTTGCAGTTCAGTAGATATTTTGCTTTTGGATTTGCGCTGGATTTGTTGGACATTACTAATGGAGTGCCTCATGTTGTACGTTTTTGTAAGATCTTTCAGAAAAAATAAATATTATTATTATTATATATTATATGGTGTCTCATTTAAAAAAAAATCGAGAATTTTCAATTTAAAATGATCCAAATATGTTCGTTTGTTTTGGATACACCGTAGCATCTAATTCGAATTTCATTGCATACATCTTCTGCGTCATCTTTAAAAATAATGGTACTATTAGTATTTTTTTGCAATTGAGAAAACTGCAAATTTCACATAATTTTTGATAATGAACTTTACTCTATCATTGACACACCCTGTACAAAGATCTGCAAAATTCCGTTTTTATCATCTCGTTACGATAAACTTCAAAGGGCAATAAACAAATTTTCTGTTTTAACCCTGTATCACAAAAACAAAGCCAGCCAGGATTGTTTGAGACAAATTTTGTAGACCAACATTTGTTATTTTAAAGTAGCATTTTTTTATAGGGGTTGTTATTTTAAAATGTGCTTTATTAAAAGTAACATCCAATGATGAAATAAAGAAATCCTTGAGGATGCTAAAACTTTGAGAAAAACTTGTTTAAATTTTATCTGTTTCATTCACTTAACTTTCTCAGGACCAAGAGGGAAGATGCGAGCATATGTTACCCGGAGCTGGGGTGTTTCGAAGCTTCCGGCCCTTTCGGATACTTGGACATGCTTCCCAGCAAGCCCGAGGAGATCAACACCAAGTTCTTGCTGTATCCGGCCAGGTAAACGAATTGCTATTGAAAATGGGTATATTACATATTAAAAACGTTTGCTTTTACCTGCCGAAGAGAACACAAAAATACCCATATCTTCATCTGATAACACTGTAGGCCTCCTTATTATTTATGCGAACTCCAAACTTCATCTGACTACTCGGGACATGATGACTGCAATTTATAAATGAAGTTCAATTGTAAATAATAAATATTTTTTGTAGTGTTATGTAAGTTTTTATTTGTTTCACCTTAGAATAATGATTATTATTATTATTACATTTATTGTTCTAATAAATAACATGTGATTAACGCCGCTATCACATCACTTTCATTCTACAAACCCGAGTTTCGTGTCCCTAATATCGGAAAATTATATTTGCAATTTATCTGAACTTTACGATATAACCTTATATTTCATTACTCTTTTATATTAAGAAATTAGGTATGGTCTGTTCATAGATATAAGAAAGAAAGAAAAAGAATTATCCAAGAGTGGTTATTATCATACAATGCAACAAGATTATTACCTAAAGTTTCAGAATTTAGATTCAGGTAAAATTGTTGTCCCTAATAGAAAATTATTTTATACCTACCTGTTTGGTTTGGTATACTACTTAGTTTAAGTTCATTAGTAATCATTCTTATTTCGCGTGTAACACAGCGCGCGTTGAATCTTGTGCGATTTATGCAAAATATGTGCGAGTCTAGTGTATCTCAGGAGATGCTCCCGCCCAAATGTAGAAAACACTATTCGATTGAGACTAAGGAAGTTATAAACAATGTTTATTTGACTCTCATTGAACGTGGTGCCAGCAAGCAAGCATCTTTAGACGAAACGGCCGCATTGACGAAAATTCCAACATCAACTGTATAGAAAATTGTGAATAATCCCATTTCAGCGAGGAAAAAAAAAGAAGCGATGCTGACATTTTCTAGAGTGTAGATAAAAGTGATCAAGATATAATACGGCGTAAAATTTACCAGGTATACGAGGAACAAAGCGTGCCTACATTAGATATATTAATTAGGAGGCTTGAAAAAGATGAAACCGGTGTTAAATGTGGCAGAACTACCTTATGGATTTAAAAAAAATGATAAAAGGCAAGTTTTAATGAAATCTTTTAGAATTCGGAAATGGTCAGTGGAATATCTAGAAAAAATTAGGATTTACAGAGAACAACAAAGGTCAATTATTTACTTGGATGAAACCTGGTTCGACACTAATGATACCCCGGAAAAGGGTTGGGTTGACTCAACTGATGAGTGTAAAACAAACGCGCCATCAAAAAGAGGTAAAAGAATAACTATTTTGCATGCTGGCTTTAAAGATGGATGGATTCCAAATGGACTTTCTCTGTCTGCGAAAAATATTAAAGATTTTTCTCTGGATTACCACGAAGACACCACCGCTGATTTATTTGAAAGTTGGTTTAAAAACAAACTAGTTCCAAACATTCCTCCTAATAGCGTCATTGTAATGGACAATGCAAGTTATCACAGTAGACAGTTGACTAAAACCCCTTCCTCATGTGACACAAAAGCAACAAACCAAAACTACATGTATAATAACCACATTTATTTTCACGAAGATTATACCAAAAAGCAATTAATTGAGGTTCTACAATGCTTGAACCTACAAAAGGAATACGTATCTGATAATTATGCAAAAAATCTAGGGCATACAGTTTTAAGGCTTCCACCTTACCACTGTATATTTAATCCCATTGAAAATGTTTAGCACCAACTGAAATCTGCCATTCGTAACAATGTTTTTCCCCGTGTTAACTCCAATGTCCTCAAACTTATAGAATCCGAAGTTTTTAACATCCCTCCACAAAGCTGGGCAAATTCTGTTAAACATATAGAAAGAGGGGAACAATCGGATATCCATATTGCAAATAACATTTAACAAATAATAATTAGAACTTGCGATGATAGCGATAGTATATTATGTGAATAATTTTAAGTAATTTAAATAGGTAATAAAAATAATTTGTAATTTTTTTTAGATTTAAATATAAATACAAACATAAATAAATAAATATTCTTTAGTATCTTTCCTAACAAAACTCAAAATAATTAAATTCTAATCAAAGTACGGACCTGTTCGGCTATATTTCATTCATACAGCTTGCCCGGGTCTTTCCTTAATTCGTATCAGTTAGTCACTTTCTTATATCTACGAACAGACTTTATAAGTCAGAATCTCCCCTTAGGTTAGGTTTAATGATTACTTTATATTATACTATAATTTCACTCAACTTTAAACATAATTGTTACTGTTACTGTGAGGACCGTTTGTAGCAGTGTTGAATAATCGTTTTTACTGTGGGGTTCGGAAAAAACTAACCAAAATGGGCTGTAAAAAATATGTATGAAACTTTAACCAGTAGAGAACAAGAGCTTTAAAAAAAACTGTCTACTTTGAAAAAACGTCAATAATAACAATAATAGTGGAGAATTGATGATGATGAGACCAATATAAACATTAACCGTGCCACCGTCCACAGAGTTGTTGAAACATATAATATACGTAATTTACCTTGATGAACCATGGTCCGATACACACGACATTGTATTAAAGGATGGGTTGATTTCACTGAAAACTGTCAAAACAGAAGACGGATTTGTCCCAAACCGCTTGCTGTCGTGTACGAAGAATATTAAGCATTCTAATTTGGATTATCATGAGTACAAATGCCGAACTTTTTGAAAATTGATTTCAAAACAATCTTTTAGAAATCACTTACGCAAAGTTCAAAAACTGAAATCCGTAAATATTTTTTAGAAAATGATATTTGTTTTGAATTCAGTTCTCTATTGTTCTGTATTGTTGAGGATTATGAAGAGAAACACAAGCGAGGTAGGTCTGCTGTTAGACATTAATAAAAATTTACCAAAATTAAATACCGGATTTTGTTGTAAAAACTGTATATCGTTGGGGGAACTATATACCTGTTGACTTTGGACTACACGTCAATTATGTAGTTTAGTTTATTGAGTTTATGTGTCGACACGCCGAGATAACGCTAGCGTTTTCAGAACGCGAAGGAGGCGTAGCAATTCCGCGCCAGCCGAGGTGCCTTTTGAAAAAATCGAAGACGCCTTCGAGTGGGCAAAAAGCGGCTTTAACGCGAGCCTACCTACGAAGGTGCTCATACACGGTTTTGGCAGCGACTGCGGATACATCTGGGCTTACGAAATCCGGAGCGCGCTCATGGCAGTGGTAAGTTTTCATCGAATTGAGTTGCTTTTTTTCCGGTCCGGCGGGGGGGCCGATCGATCGCCGGTAATCAAACTGAAAGCCTCTCGCTGGACTTTTAATGCCGCGGACTTTAAAAGCCGCCGAAAAGTTAACTTACTCGTCCTTAAAATAATTTGGGATTAAAGATTACTCTAGTCCGAGTCATTCCGGTTGGTTTTGGGAAAACTTAAAAAGTTTTTTTTTAATGAAGTCGATTAAGTGGCCCTTTTAACTTCGATGTATCGAAAATGTCTGTTTCTTTTTAATTTCTAGGCGAAGAATTGCGGTTTGATGAGCTATGCTCAAACCCGTTTTGACAGCTACTAATGGATATTTAAAAAAGCTTACTGAATTTCTTGTATGATAATAATTGTTTACCACTGTTACAAATAAAATGAAATATAAAAAAATTCAATTCTTAACTTAATTTATTATCATACAAGAAACTCAGTATTTCAAAATTCAATTATTTCAATGTGTTTTGCACTTTATGAACTTCTATTTGTAATAATTTTCAATTTATTATAACTAGTTAATAAGAAATGACATTATATCTAAAGAATATTAACATAACCTAAAACTGGTGTTCAAATTGGAGGCTTATTTTTTAAATACCATTTTAAATAATTATTGGTCTCCTCCGTAGAGTTTCGAAAGTTAATACTTTGGTATTTATTATTTTCTGCTACAAATCATACTTACGCAGCTCTTTGCTATAGTTTCGGAGATTCCTGTACTGAAATAGAATTAATAAAATAGCAGTGGTTAAAACAATTCTTCATGCTATTTCTCGTCAAAAGTGACTGTTTTTTTTAATAAAAAATTATGTTAAAAAAAATTGAAAAATGTTATTGAAAAAAGTTGTTTCTTATTCATTTTTCCTCAATAATAATAATACCAATGTAATAATACCAATAATACCAATATAGCGTCTTTCTTTAAATGTATTGTATCTCATGAAATGTCGGTTTTTTTGAATGGAACACATTATATCTTCAGTTTGGTATGAACTACTCAGAAATATGTAACGGTATGGGATTATGGAAAAAGGATTTATAAAATACGTAAAATGGTTACATCATTTGTTCCTGATAACACTTTCATAATAACTTTTACAATTTGCGTGAAGCCAACTTTGTTTAATATTAACATTTTATTTGTATATACACTATTAACAAAGATATAAACGAGAACCTAGGTATAAAAACAATTATTTAAAATGATAAGGAACATAAAACAAGAGGTTGCATGTTATTCTGAAAGCTTTGGAGAGTACTGAAACTATGTATGATATTTTGAACGTTTTTTTTTAGCTTTATAAATGAAAATAATTATGTTCAAATTTGCAGAAAATGCTAATAGGTAATAATTTTTTCGTCCCTTATCATTTGAAATAGTTCCCGTTATGGTTTATCTTTTAAAATAATATTAAGGTCATAAAGCTGTGTGAAATTTTACAAATAAAATGTTAATATTAATCTAAGTTGGCTTCATGTAAATTATAAAAGTTATTCTGCAAGTATTGTCAGGAATAAACAAGGCCTACTGCAAATATATTCATGAAAATAAAGGAAAAATATATTTTATACGTTCATAAAAAAAAACATATTACAATTTTAATTTTAATTTTTTTAGATATAATTTTATGTAATAAAAGCTGTTAACATAAAGAAGCACATTTGGTGGATGCCTAATAACAGTAATCATCAAATTGAGATCCAATTTATGAAGAAAAGTTAATTAATTTAATTTGTTAACGTAACAAACATTTTAATCAAAATTAAAATTCAAAATAACATTTATGTTGTCTCGACGTTCCCCAACTTTTTGGAATGTTACCGCTTGTCATGTATATCCAGGAAGAGGTGAACACGATCTGCGTGGACTGGACCAACGGTGCGGCGTTGCCAAACTACGTAAAGGCGTCGGCAAACACGCGTCTCGTCGGCAAACAGCTGTCGCTGTTGCTGAGCGGCCTGGTCGAAAAAAACGGATTGTCTCTGATCACTACCCATCTGATCGGGTTCAGTTTGGGCGCTCATATTGCCGGATTCGCGGGAGCAGATTTGAAAAATTTGAGCCGTATTACGGGTAACCCCCGATTATACTATTGTTGTTATGACGTAACTATCAACCATTTTTCTTGTTTTACCTTAAGAGACGTTTTTTTTTCTATAGAGATCAAAATATTTCAGAGTTTAACTGAAATTAGCCTGCGTTCTACTCTGTACCTGCTTGTAAATTGTTTGAGAAATCTTTGGAAAGAAAGTCTTAAGAAATATAACGTCAAAACCAGGTTTACTACTTTTCCAAGAATCTCTCAACATCTTAGATCCGTCAAAGACAAAATTTCATTTGAGATAGCAGGAGCTTACAAGATTCCATGCACGTGAACATGAAGGAGTCTTAAGATTCCGACACAATTATGAAACAAAATAAGTTTTATTCGATGAAACTAAAATTCTTCTACCAAAGAAAAGTCACATCTTTACCTTTCACCAATATGGGAATCAGTCATACGAGACAATGTCCATAGACCTCCATTAGCTCAAACAGCAGGTACATTGTCGAAACGTCAGCAATTTCGACTCAGCGAATCCAGAAGTTTTGTAAACTGACTAAAATTGTTGCAGGTTTGGATCCAGCGGGACCGCTGTTCGAGTCCCAGGACACTAGGGCGCGTCTGGATCAGACAGACGCTGCCTTCGTTGACGTCATACACAGCAACGGTGAAAATTTGATACTGGGCGGGCTGGGTTCGTCACAGCCCATGGGCCACGTCGACTTCTACCCCAACGGAGGTCGGATGCAGAAGGGTTGCAGCCACTTGTTCGTCGGAGCGGTCAGCGATATCATTTGGTGTAAGCTCATTAATCGCAAAACCATTGCAACTCCAAATATGTATAAATGCTCAGTACATTATTGATTGTACATTGATTGATCATTGTAAATCCGCTGTATTTGATCGATAACTCACTGTGAATTACCAAGGGAACCCCGAAAATCATTTTAAAATGTGTAAATTCTGGGAAATCGCCAATAAACCGATCCATTTCTCCAAATTATCGGTACACCGTTGATAAATCATTATAAATCATTGATAAATCTCCACAAATTGCAGCATCCATCGGCGGGGATCGAAATTTAAGAGAGACGACGCTGGTGTTATTGTTATTACGTGACTAAATATTCGCATTTTAAATAGTCCGAACGTAAAACGAACAATGCAAGAGGATCGGAGAGGGGCTCTTGGGTCCGTGCTTTTTCGTCTGCTCGGCCAATTAGCAATTTTACAATTCAAATCGGCGCCAGCAGCGTGGTAATTGCTGGCAATTTCGCCCGTTGACTTTTAACGAAAAAGCGCGCCCTTTTTTTCCGACGGCCCTCTAGAATTTAATATTTTTTCACGCCGCTGACGTCAATGATTAATTTTTTCGTTCCTCGGATGATTTTGATACGGGAACGGAACGCCATTTTTCGATCAAACTGTTTTCCTGTAGGACTGTTCGAAAAATCGGAAATAAAAAAGCCAGATCAATGATAAAAAGACATGAAACTGAATTTTTCTGTAACTTTTTAACATTAAAACATTAAATAACTTCGTTTTAATTTTGTACATGAATATTTCATTTAGTCAATTTAATTTTTCCGGAAAGTTTATGTTTTGGAATATAAAAATTGTTTCCAGTGAAATGACCTTTATTTTTTATTTTTAGTCAGTGACACTCAGTAATATACAGGGTGATCAAAAAAGATTTCAAAATTGCACCTCAGAATGTACGTACTCCCATCATTCAACATGTGGAAAACATAATATAAAATTAATAATTTTATTTTTGAAAAGGATTGTCAAATGTTTTTGAAATAAAATAATGTATAATTTTTTCAGTATTTTAAGTAAATAATTATTGATACAGCGATTTCATAAAAAAATATTAGAGCCACAAAACGGTACATCGCAGACCAATATCCATATACATCTTTGGATTCGTCCTTTAAAGGGGTATCTGGAAATGCAAAAATGTAGAGCGCCTTTGATTTTCAAAAATTAACATTTTGTAAAATATCGCACGATCGCGTATTCGATAAAAATATTTAAATTTTGAATAAAGTCTGAGAAAAGGTACTATTTTCTAAAATATGATACTCAAAAAAATGTTTCCAAAGTTGGTTGTAACTAAAATATTTCCAAGATAATCTGAATCCCGAAGATATTCGCTCATAATTATATTGGATTCGTCTTCTGAAGGGGTATTTAAAACTGTAATGTTTTCCATTAAAAAAAATGTAACTTTATTTGACAACCCTGTATGAGTAATTGTGTGACAATTTAAATAATACAAGAAAACCAAAGATCGTTTTGCTGGAAACAACTTTTGCATTCAAATATTTTTTATAACACTCATAGATTTGGAGATAAGGTATAAGCCGCTCTTAAGTCGGCTACCCTGTACATCCTCGGAAATCCTTAATAAGTCATTGTACCTTTCTGACTCCGTAATATATTGTTGATAAACCGCTGTAAATCATTTGTAAATCACCGTAGAACATGGTACATTCTTGAATGTCCTTCATAGCTTAATGTAAATTGCTAAATCATGGTAAGTCATTCACAAATCACTGCATATCCCCTTTAGTGGTTCACTACACCTATCTAAATCCCATGTACATTGTTGATAAAACATTGCAAGACATTAATTAATCTCTGCAAATCACACCTACTTTTGTTTATTATTCACTCTGAGCCACCGCACATTCTCGGTCATCCGTAATAACTCTACGTACATTCTACACTCTACACTCTAAGCCACCATACATTCTTGGTGGCCCGTGATAATTCTATGTACACTTATAAATCCCTCGTACATCATTGATAAATCTTTTTAAATTACCGCTGTTTATGTAATATTTCTAAACGTTTTTTAAAATTCTCTTTGTGTCTCTGCAAATTACACATACTTTTGTTTATTATTCATTCTAAGCCATCGTACGTTCTCGGCGATCCTTAATATTTTTATGTACATTTATAAATCTTTTGTACATTGTTGATAAATCTTTTTAAATTACAGCTAATCCCTGGCAATTCCTTCGTAAATCGTCACACCTACACACTCAATATTTATGGAATATTTTGAGACACATTTTTTAAAAATTCCCTTAGCGTCAGCGGTGGAGGGCAGATCGTTGTGCAACCACCGCAGGGCGTACAAGTTCTTCATCGATTCGGTTTCGCCTAGGTGCCATTTCCCGGCTTTCCCTTGCGAATCCTACGACCATTTCCTTGCGGGAAAATGTTTCCCATGCACCGAGGAAAGGTAAAGAATAATCTTCATGGTCATATTTATAAACCTGGCGACAGTTGACATTCTGGTTGGATTTGCAGTAAGTGCGGCAACATGGGGTACTATGCGGACCGCTCCAAGGGCAGGGGGCAGTTGTACCTGATTACGCGTGACGAGGAACCTTTCTGTGGTAAGCTACGCGCTCATGTCTCTTCGGCAACGTTGAAATTCACTAATTGTCTTCCCCCTCACACTTCTTCCGCCGCGCGTAGCGCATCAGTATTTGGTGAAGCTGGAAACCGAACCTGGTCCGTTGCCGATCAAGAGCTATGGCAAGATCCAGATCACCCTCATAGGTGAATCCTTCCTCAACGAAACGTTCATGATGACGAGGTAATGGAAGAGCCTTGTGTTCTAGATGGGTTTGGGATAGTTATGCAATTTTCATGAGTTTGGTAAATAATGTAAAAAATTCCTCTAAACGTTGTACTCATATAGCTATTAGACATATAGAGGCCTTGCCTATGATCGTGAAGCAACTAGGTCACCAAATCACACAATTACAAGTGTGATTTGGTGCGATTGGGAGTCCAACAACTTTTAAATCTTTTAAATTAACTTGTACATAAGGCAACACTAACCCGTATATGGGCACATTCTTTTTCTTACACTTTTGACCACAAACTGCACGATAAAACGAAAAAGGTGCGGAAAGAATCAGAACCACCAAAAATGTCAACAACAATGCACACACTGTGCTTTCTTATTAAAATTTTTTCAGCAAAATTTATGGCAATGTGGCAACTCAGTTATTTGGAGGTGACGCATGCGCAAAAGATCCACACCTTCTCTTCGAGAATATCATAGGCACCTGCGGCGCATCACTTTTTACCGTAGTAGGGCCATTATAGTATCTAATAGCTATATGGTTGTACCTGGCCCGTAAGTTCGATTTATCTTTATCAATTAAAATGTTATCAAGATAAATTGAACAACTGCGCCCTGGAATGTATGTTTTTGAAATACGAAAATCCTCAAAACTTATTATTATCAGAATGGAGGGGGTCGCTCCTCACTAAGGGCTCTCACATGTCAGTGGTGATATAATTTCGAAACTAAGTGCTATGGTTTTCCTCAAACCTTAGAAAGGAAGATGAAGAAATGATCTTGGGCGAATCGATATCGAGGATCATAGTGCCTCACCCCATACTGTCACAACCGACGAAAATCGAGATACTCTATACCGCTTACAGCGGTTGGTTGTCATCTGGACTGACCCAGTGGAAGATCGACAAGGTAATGCTGATGGACAGCTTTGGGAAAATGTAAGTACCTTAGAGTTATTATCAGCACCTCTTACCTCTTCTCGCAACCAAAACCAAAGATTTTAGAACGTGGAATTGTTTGTCTCCCCTTTCTTGGAAATATGTAATGAATTATTGTACCTAAATCCTGAGTATAAAGTATTGTAAATAGTTGATAAATCACCGCACATAACTGGGATGTCTCAGAAACGATCCAAAGTATTGGCTTTGAAAGTGACTACCACTTCAGAAGATCTTTGATCTGATTAGCCAACCATTTTGTAATTTTCAGAGGTTTTGAACCGGCTAGCTCCAATCAAGCTAAATAAATACGGAAGTTGTAGTTTGTTTCCTAAATCCTTGTATTTTTTTCTTCTTTAAAGTTCCGCAATGTATGTGGAACCAACTGGCACACTAAAATATAGGTTTTACTTATTTGAAGACTGCGCATACTGTTTTTCAGGACCCACATCCAGCTATAATCAACTCATTTCAGCTGGACTACGGCTTAGGGTAACATTCTAAATTATTTTATTGCTAAGTAGTAAGGACCCTTTTGAAAAATGCTCAGACATATCTTCTGAGTGAAGCTGTGGTTGGTTGGGAACAAGTGTGGATTTATTTTAATCGCTCCAGTCTCTTGTATAAACCCCTCTCAAAAACCTTCGACACTGCAGGGAGCAGCGTTATTGCCTTTTTGTATAAAGGAAAAACTGTTGAGAGTTGAAGGGGTGCTGAGAATACTTGTTCAGTTAAGGACTCATTAATGATGCTAGCTAATCACATCAAATCTCATTTAAACTCGATGAAATCTTACAAAAGAAATGGAACTTCACAAACATTTACATTTGAAAATTATATTTACAGTAACGTTTGTCATGGAGCCGCTTCCTCAATGTTTAAGCTAACTTCAGTAGGATTATGGGTTAGGGTAACATTGTAAATGATTCTATTGCTATGTAGTGGGCACCCTTTTGAAAACTGCGTAGAAAATTCTTCTGAATGAAAGCTGTTGTTGGTTCTATTGGATAAAATTTTCTCAAACAAATCTGAATCTGAATCTGAATCTCTCGTTCCAGCTCGTCGGTGTGCAAGCGCAACCTCATCCTCGACTCTGGCGTGGCAGTCATCTTGCCTCTCTACCCCGGCGAGTGCGATCCGCCGAAACACAAACCCGACAAGCAGACGGTCGACCAACGTATGGAGCGGCCTTTCAACAACACTTCGAAGGAGATGTTCGTGCCGACGCAAGTGATCCGGGTCGGTTTGGACGATCAAGAGTACGAACCGAACTCTTCGGAGGCGGTACCGTTCAGGAACGACCTCACCGACGATAACGACGAAGCGGAATCGAGTCGAGCGTTCAACACGAGGATCGTCAAAGCCGACGAGGCTAGCAAACACCTCGCAGACGACAACGGGTTGATCAGAGAGATCGTGGAGCCGGTTTTAAAGCCCCAGTCCTTCAAGAACGCGAGGGCTCACGACCCTGCCAAGACGAAACCGGAGATAACTGAGCCGATCTTGGGACCGACTACGTCGAAGTCTCCGAAGACGACGACTTCTGCTACTACGGAAACCACCACCACCACCACCACCACGACCACCACCACTACGGAGGAGAATAAAATCGTGACGTTCTACGACGCGGACTGGGTGCCCCACAGGAGAGACAAGTGGAAGCGAGAAGACGAATCGAAGGCTATCAAGGGGTTCGAAACTTCACGTGGCGAAGACGCGATCGGCTCGATCGTGACGACGGTGCAGTTCCTGCCTCAACGGTTGGCGAGGATGTTCGAGCAGGCTGAGAAGTACGCCAGGGACACCCTGTTGCCTTTCGTCAGTACTTACACTCCGAGGTTCATCACCGACATTATCAGACCCAGGGAGAGCCCCAGGTACGTGCCTTTGAACTACGAGCCGGAGGAGGAGACCGCGAGGGTCGCCGATGAGGGCGTCAACGGGTTGAGGCCTGCCGAGAGCAGGAATATCAAGGCCGGCGACTTGGAAGCGACTACGACCGCGCAGGCGCTCACGCATATACAGAGGATCGAGAAGAGGACTACGACGACTACGACGACGGCGACTACGCAAAGTAAGGGGGCGGGGAGGAGGACGAGAGATAACGGGGCCGGTAAAAGGGCGATCTACATAGATTTGCCGGTATTCGAGGAAGACGGCAGGTCCGTCAAGTATATTCCGTTGTCCGGGGGCCTTTGAGGCGGGGATCGGTCGGTTGGACAGTACACACATACCAGGTGGCCCATTAGTTAGTCCTACAACTTAGAAAGAAAAATATTTACACATAAATCGGCCAAGAGCAAAAACTGGAAATTGTTTTCAAGTTCGTAAAATGGCCGCTAGGGGGGCGCAACCTCTACTGTAAAATTTACAAAACTGGTTTTCTCAAAAATTTTCCAAATCAACCTATATCAAAATTAACATTGGCGTAATCTACTCTAGATGAGGAAACTTTTTTGTTCGAAGTGTTTTTTTCTACCTCCTCAAATTAAGGGTGGGGGAAGGGTCAAATATTGGTTTAGAAAAAGTTGAATTACTTTTTTTTTGGATAATCCGATTAATTTATGGGGGCTTCGACTGGCATGCCAATATCACGATATTAATTCTTTTACGGGTCGGTAGGAGGCGCCGCATGTCAAAAACAGTTATTTTTACGATTTTCTCGAAATTTTTAAGTATAATCGAATAAATATTTTTAGCTAGCATGAAAGAGAGCAAAAAAATGTAATATCTTTTTTCTCTTTAGTATAGTGTAATACCAGAGACGAGAGATGTGACGTGGTATGCTTATATTTTCTACTAGAGTTAAATCAGATGTTGTCCTAATTTGTCCATATTAATCGCCACTATTCAATAATAGTTAAAACTGAATCGTCAATATAATTTATTAATACATTACACGTATTGCCAATATTGGAGAAAAGGGTAAAATAACTAAGTAGGCTTAGCGGTTGCCATGGTAACGGTACTATTATCATGAACCTAGCCCAAACATCAATTTATTGAGGTGTTTTCTGAATAATTCCCTCATTTATGTTTTATATATAAAGTCAAATAAAAATGGTATCGGAATTTTATTATAAAATATCATCCCTTCATAATACTACTTCTGTTAAAAAAAGTATTTTTAAATTAACATTTATTTATATCTCAGAGCAAAAAAACCATATTGCCATACCGTTTCCATGATGTGTTTTTTTACGCCCATCCTAGCCAAAAATATTTATACCATTATATTTGAAATTTTCGAGAAAATAAAACTAAACTAAGTTCCCCCTACCCTTAATTTGACGAGAGAGAAAAAAGTAGTTCAACCAAAAAAGTTTCCTTATTTAGAGTAGATTAGGTTAAAACTAATTTTGATATAGCTTATTTTGGAATATTTTTGGGAAACCCCCTTTTTTCTATTTTGCAGGGGAGGTTACGCCTCTAGCGGCCATTTTATGAACTTGAACTGTTTCTCTTGGCCTATTTATTTATAATATATTTTTTTCTAAGTTGTTAGAGGAACGGTTCCCGAGATATATTCTTCATTAATGGGCCACCAGGTACATGTATATGAGTGAAATTTTTTGTTCTTCGTCGAGATGGGCAATGTTAATGTCAAAAAGAATTGAACGTAATTACTCCAATTTTGTTCAGTGACATGTTGAAATGCTTCTTCTGTGTATTGAAATCGATAGTGTTCAGGTCACAGTGATACGATGGTAAACGTAAAACATCTATCCCGTATTTCGCTGCTATTTATTCAATTTCACATTTGTCATACTCATTTCTGTACGCCTAAACAACTTCCCGCAGTTCTAATTTAAATTAGGAGTTGCCAAAGAAAATTTACAAGAATGATATGAAGCGCTATCCATAACAACATTTTTTTTGTCTATTGTTAGCTGAATGTGGAGTTAGCGACTCCTCAAACAATTGCTCGAAATAATCGCCATTTGTTTCGTCATGACCATCGCCTTCGAAAGCCTGCAGTTTGCAATCTGTTACGGTGTTGTCACACCAAACTTAATCAATCTTACGATCCACATTCACCCAATTCTCATCTAAATCATATTACAATTTTGTTGGCGATATTTCTTTATTAATCTACGCTACTCTACTCTACTCAATAATTTTATAAATTGCACTTGCTGTTATTGAATTTTTGGAATCCCATGTTAATAGTAAGAAATCCAACATTTTATATTCGAAAGTCATTTCGATGCAACGTTTCCACCCATGCGAAATGCATTATCTATGCTACACACAGTGTATTCTCAGTGTAATAAGTGTCAATTCTGTAGAAAATTTGAAAATTTTCATCGGGTCTCAATCGATACGATTCGACGTACCGACCTGCTTACCCCCATGAAATAAATGTAATTTATGAAGCATAATTAATGATATAGATTAAAAACACAAACAATTTGTATATAGTAGTCTCGACCGTAAATTTTTATATATATATACAAAATAATTATATATAATAATTAATTGTTAATGGGAATTTCGAATTTTCTTAAAGCAAACCCCCAAAATTCGCTCGAATTTTATTTAATTTATTTAAAATGTACATAATTCCTTAGCCGGTGAAATATATTTGCTTTTTAAATAAAACTGTATAAAAATAATAACTTTTGTAATTAATGATCGTTATATTTAATATTATTATTAATAACTTTTCCGGTAGCGCAGAACGTAAAAGTTAATTACCAATTAGATGTCGTTATAATCAACAAAGATACAATTTTAAAAATAAATTAAGTTAATTGATTTAATTTACACTAAACACACTCAAATAACGGTTGACTTAATAAGTTTTATAATTTGATATAAATTCATTCAATTTCAATTCAATTTTATTCAATTCAATTTATTCAATTCATGTATATTAATTTTTTTTCGAATGAAGTTAAGGTTATCATTGTTATGATAATATAAAGTTTTATGTTTTTGCCAATTTCATCTTTTTTAATCTGAGCCGTCAACTGGACTCGAAAAAGTGCACCCAATATATTTTCCTGCGCCTGTAAAACGTCCTGTAAGCTGTTTTTGTTTGAAATAAAGCGATACGTAAAAATAAAGTTATATATATTATTTTAACAAGTTCTAACACCGTCTCTGTACTCATTTCGCTTTGCTCTGTACTCTTTTTATTTAATAACTTAATAATTTAACGCTCTTCCGTTTCCCCTTCGTCACTTTCTCTTTTCTCTGCTCTCTTCCAGGCCTTCCGACTACTACCACCCCTTCCATACCTCGCGACAACTCGCACTTCTCCATCGATTGGGGCGACAGATTCAACAAGTCGGAAAAACGAAAAAGGCAAAACGACAATTCCCCTCAGTCGACGCCGAATTTCAACCCGATCGACACCATAGTAAACAGGTTTCAAAGCCTGCCCGACGGCCTCCAGAGGATGTTCAACCGGGCGGAAAAATACGCCAGGGAACGGATATGGCCACTGGTCGACGGCTACGTCGACGAGTTTGTGCGAAACAGGCAAACGCCTCGGGCTCCCGCCAAAGCAAAAATCGACTACACCAAGAACGAATTAGACTCGAGAGTGGTCGAAGTTTCGACCGACGACGCCTACGTCGTGCCCTACTTCAACGACGTGCGAACAATTCAAAATGGCGACGATGGTTTCGCACCGGAACTCGTGCTGATTACGCCGAAAGTGACGCCCAAGGCGATCACCTCGACTACAACTTCGACGATAACGAATTACGAGGCGACAACTGCGAGTACAACTTCGATGGTGACTCCGAAAGTGGTAGACGCGATTACAACTTCGACGACAATGAATTCGGAACTTGTAAACGCGAATACAACGGCTACAATGATGAACTTCGATGCGATAACGGCGAATACAACATCTAACGTGATAAACTCGACAATTGCGACGACAACGAATCCGGACCATACGAAAGCGAGTACAACTTCTACAATAAGGAATTTTGAAACGACAACCGAGAATACAACATTTAACGTGGCTTTAAAAGTGATAAACGCGAATACAACTTCGATGACAACGAGTCGAGAGGCGAATACAACACCTAATGCGCGTACAACTTCGATGATAACGAATGACGAGGTCACAACTGCGAGTACAACTTCGAAGATGACTTCAAAAGAGTCTAACGAGAGTACAACTTCTACAGTAAAGAATTTTGAAACGGCAACCACGAATACAACTTTTAACGTGACTTTAAAAGTGTTAAACGCGAGTACAACTTCGACGGCAACGAGTCCGGAGTATGTAAACGCGAATACAACTCATTCAATAAGGTATTTAGAGGCGACAACGCCGAATACAACACCTAATGCGAGTACAACGTCAACGATAACGAATAACGAGATAATAACAGCGAGTACAAATTCGACGACAACGCAAACGACCACGACAACCGCTGTGATGAGTACGATTACGATTCACACCTCCGATGTAGGTTCGAGTGCAAGTACTAAGCCTCCAAGACCGATCAAACCGGGCAAGTACGCGAAAAAATCGCACAGTCACGTGCAAAAAATACCGAAAAGAGGCGAGAAAGTGACGTACAAGTTGCCCAAATTGATCGAGATAGTGATCGATCCGAAAGATCTCGAAATTGCGACTTTCGTCGCGACGACGACGACGACGACGACGACGCCGTCGCCCAGACCGTACTTGTCTTATATTCAAAAAATACCCAAGAGGGCGGGCTAGACATTCAGATCGTACCTGAAAGAAATATTTTATATTATTGTATAAATAGATTTAATATGAGATATATATTTCGATTTTTTGAAGTTAACGTCGTTACCAAAATCGATCAAATCAATTATCGGGCGATTTTCCTTCTTACATTTCCGAAAAGGAGAGGAAAATTTTCGAAAAATATATATGTACAGGTTGTCCCAAATTCGAGAGGGACTATTGGGATCTTAGAGGTCTAAAATACGAATTTTAAAACAGTTTCAAATTCCAGAGCCTTCTGAGGCAAAAATTCAAAAGTCCCAAAAGTGTTTAGTTTTTCCAAAAAAAAAAGCTAAAAAAGCGAATTGATTCGGATTGTTTCTATTTTTTCTATGTTTCGTTAATTTTTTTGGGGGTTTTATTTGAACCCAGTTCTCCCGTTTTAAATAGGTGACTACTAAATTTTGAACTCTGTTTTCCTGTTAATATACTTATCTTAATTTTGTATCCAGAAATTGTTGGTCTGCGTGAAAAAAACTTTTACTAATTTTGATCGATATTGCTAAATTTATTTATTTATTAGTCTACAATATCGGGTAAGCTACTAACATCTATATGTATTGTACAAATTATGTAATATAGATCTTATAAGACTGATACATTCGGTGTAATTTCACCTTCCTTATTCCAGTCTTCAGTCAGGTTTGACTGGCCAACTGTTGAAATACACCAAGCAAGCGCATCTAATTATTTTATTTCCATATACATAACATAATTATAATTTAAAAAAAGTATTAAAATCTGTCGGCTCGAAGTTTATATTCTGCACTTATCGCATCTCACTATTTTATCAGAACTTTCTTTGGAAATCTCCCAAAAAATATTTTGACCGCTCAGGGTCCGTTTTGAACTCAGTTGTGAGCAGTCTTGACCACCCTTTAGTGTTATTATCTAGCCAAGGCAACACAGATAAGGGACAGCATTTCTTTTTCTAATCCTGAAGTTGATGACTTACATGCTCTCCTAAGTTAAGTGTAATTTAAGAAAGTAAATTTAGTGAAAACATAAGGACCATAGACAAAAATTGCAGTAATTTAGATGACTCAGAATCAATGCTTCACAGAGGGTTTTTTTTAAGTGTTTGTATTCTTCAACAGCTGGAACTTTAATATAATGTTCTAAGGCCTTCGATCCAGTATTCTCAGTCAGTTGAATAATATTTATAATGTTTTCACTTGGCACAGGGCATCATTGAGGGTATGGAAAGCTTTTAATAAGTAAAGATCCAACGCTTTCGCCTTATATGCCGTAGAGATGCCTCCTAAATCTGTTTTAAAATTATATTAACATTTAATTTAAAGAATTTCGTGAAGAAATTTATGAATAACTATTGATTTTCAAGTGCAAAAACAGCTCCATGAAGTTCGAAGCGTGGCTATTAGTCAGTGGACAGTGAGAAGAAGACTGAAGGGAGATAATAAAAAACAGAAATATATTTTAATCAATTTAAACTCCTATCAAAGCATATTAATGTCTTTCAAACAGACAGCATTCTTTTTTATCTGATCAGTAGTTAAAAAAAAAAATCAAATGTTCACAATGGGCACGCAAGTTTAGCATCATACTTACTTTACCTAACCAAAATGGAGATCGTCAAGGCAGTTACCATATTCTCTTAGTCAGAAATCATTTTTTTAACTTAAAAAAAATCACAAAATTTTTTTGTTTACTTATTAAAAAAAATCAGATACAGGTCACAAATATTTTTGGATGCCTCCTCATTTTTCGTGTTTTGATAATTGTTGTGTCGGAATTGTTTTACGTATTGCCACGTAGTCAAAGAAAAAGCATAATTTTTTTGAAAAAAAAAGTTTATCTAAAATTCCGACTCGTCGATCTTGTCCAGGAATTCTTCGAGATCGGCCAATCTTCTGACCTCGTGCTGTATGTGCTTGATGTGACCCCAGCGCAGATGCCTCAGCTGCTTAAAATACTTTTCGCGGGAACTTTCACCTAAATCAAATTAGTTAACGCGTAAAACATGACCTGCCCAATATGCCCTAAAATGTTTTTGCTTGAAGTTTTTTTTTTACAAAGGCAAACTTTTTCACTAGGTTCTCCTTTGTTTTAAATTGTTCATACTCTGTATTAGGTATCGGATAAATAGAGCTTACTATTGTGTGGATTGTAACCGTTGTTCAGTGCAATTTGCTTAATGATATTAAGTTCTTTGTTGTAATTTTCTATTGAGAGTGGCGTATTAAGAAGTCTGTGTTATCCGAAATCTAATACAGAATACGAACAATTTAAAATAATTTTAGCAAAAAATTGTAGCAAACAGCTTTATTTTTCCAAATAACTCTATCACTTGAATTGAACTGAGGTGGCTTTTACTTGATGAAAATCCATTTATCAAAATAAATAAGAACTGAAAGTTCAGATTTTCACGAACTTGTATATTATGACATGACATTTGTAAAGACACGGTGTTGTCGAAACAATTCCGATCGGATAAATGGTTTTGGAGGAAAACGTGTTTTTCTCGATACCAAAATAACCAAAAAAAAAATCAAAAATTAAAAATAAAATACTTCGCGTTATTTTATTGCCATCAATTTAAAGAGTCTAAATGCGGGTCTAGACTTCTACTTCTCTCCCAAGTCTGAAGTCGGTAACTGCAAATTTGAGCCACTTTTATATGTTTTAATATTGCACGGAATATCGCGAACACCCCGTACAATACTTACAAACCTTAAATACAAAAGTTCTAGCTATCTATATGGGCTATATCGTCATGTAAAAGAAACTAACATCTAAAACACAGATTTGAAATTACTCCCGATTTCCAATAATAGGGGGACCCATTTGTCAGTTTTTTTGAATTTGCTGTTCACCCTGTATATTTTTGAAAAATTGTCAAGAATAAAAGATTATGCAGCCATACTCGCTGCGTCTTCTGGTTCAAGAATTTTTGCGGTCTTGTAAACGGTTTTTGAAAAACGGCCTTTTTTGTAGACAATCGCACACGCGATTTTTAATTTTTTTAAAATACTTTCCGACCACCCAGCCCCCCCATTTTCAATAGGTTCCGTCACAGGACAAAACTGCATTTCGGACACTTATCGTGTTCATGGCAATTTCCAAAAACAGTCGAAAATCGCGAAAAAAAGATGGATGCCGGCCTCGGATAGAGACAGTTTCAATTTTGTAGCTCCAACGGTTCTAAAGTATTTAGGAAAAAACCAAAAGACGAGAACGGAGAACGGACAAACAGCCAAAAAAAATTTCTTTTTCACGCCCATCATGTCTGTACCAATGGCGATCCCATAGGTATATAAAATTTTTATACTAGCGTAGATACTTTTGAAAATTTTTCGAAAGTAACAAGTGATAGAAGATATTGTCGGAATCTTGATAGCTTCCGCTGTTTTACTGATTGATTTGATTTTTGTCCATTTTTATAACTGTTTGCCTTTATATGTTATATATTACGTCTTTATACCTATTTATTGGAGACTTCATCTCATAGTATACAATTTTTTTGTACATGCTGTACATTTTGTACATTTGTACACGAACTTTTTGTAAATTGTAAACAGCCTGTGGAAGTTTTTTTGAAAAAGTAATCAATCTGCCATTGAAAAAATAATAAATTATTTTATATTTCGAAAATAACAAGTGATAGGAAAAATACTTTTGGTCATTTTTTTAAGAATGAAATTTCAAAAAATTTTCTATTTATCATTTTCTACTACGGTTGACATTTACGCTGCTAGGACCGTTTCAAAAAATTAGAACTTTTGAAATATGGCTTTGCGTAGAGTGACAGAACTGCAACTTTTTGGTGTCTGCTATAGTTTCCCAGTTACCTGCACTATACATAAATACAACTGTCTCTGTGTATTATAATAATAAAAGATATAAATAATAAAATGTTCGTAGTTACTTTGGTAAATCTAATTGCCGCAGCAGTTTTTGTTTTTTGATCGGTTACTGAAACGTTGTCAAAGACAATTTTTTGAATTAATGCTTCTGCCTAATAAATAAATAAATTATTAAATGATCGCTCGTCCCTTTCAATTTTTTTTTTCAAGTTTTCGCAAAAATAAACACACTTTTAACTTTAAATTGGTCTTTAAAACTTTAAAAATTGGGTAAAAATTGTGGAACTCACTGGTGCAGGGGCAAATTTTGTTCTTCGGATCCGGTTCGTCTCCCTGCTCTTCGCCCCCTCTGGGGGCGGTCGCCGAGGAAACAAACGAGTCGGCCAGCGCGGCGGTAACTTCATAGCAAAGTTCGTTTTTCAAGGGGGCGCTGCTGTGGTGTCCGATGGCATCTATCGCTTTCTTCGGACTCATACGCCTATCCAACTGAAAAAATGGGGTTCGAGCTAAAAGCAACCATTTTCTACACTTTCTGAGATACAGGGTGAAATCCAGAACTATCGATTTTGGGTTTCTTACTGGTTCTAACCCTTTATTAATTATGAGGCAAACATATTATCAATTATTTTTAAAATTGAAAGACTATCCCATTTGAAGTTTTCTTTGATACCTTTTTTTGTAGCCTCTTCGAAAGCAAAAACATAATAAATAATGAGATTAACCTGTATTACCTGCATTACCTCGAATTGTTTTTAAATTAAAAGTTTGATTTTTTCAATTTTTAATAATGATGTTATTTTTTAATTTTTTTTTGGTTTCCTTTCAATTTTTTCTTATTTATTTAGAATTAATTTGGACAATTTTTGATAATTAAGGCCTAATTAAAATTAATATATTCCCTTCGAGTCTCTTTCTTGCAGAAGCAATAACGACAAAAGCCTGTGTTTATTTAAGCATAAAATCAAACCAAAAAATACAAATTAAAAATGTACTCCGCTGCAGATTGACAATGATCAACAAACCTGAAAACGTTCCCAATTAAATTTTTCTTCACAAAACCTTTTCTAGCCATTTCGAAAAGAAAAAAGACATGAAAAACAAAAATAAGGTTTTTTGGTTTCACTTTACTTTGAAACGTGTTTTTTTTAATTACAAATTTTAATTTTGGCATTTTTAATAATGCTGCTGTTATTTTTTTTACCTACCCTGAGGTTTCGCGAAATAGATTTTTTTTAATGTTTTTTTTGGTTGCCTTTTAATTTCCTCTTATTTATTTAATTACTGTTTAATTTTATTAATTAATATTTAATTAGTAAATTCGCTTCGAGATTGTGAAAATTAAAAAAATATAGTTTTTATTACAAAACCTTTTTTTCTAGTATTTTCGAAAAGAAAAAAAAAACGTAATTAATAATATAAATAACCTTTTTTGGTCTTACATTACCTTGAAATTTGTTTTTTTTTTTAAATTGGTTTATTCAAATTTTTAATTATACTGATACTAGTTTTTTAACAACTTTGAGTCTTCATGATTTTTTTTTTCTAAAAATTATTTTTTTATTGCATGTCATTTTTTTTATTTAGCATTAATTTTGGTTAGTTTACCAAAGACATTATGACTTCTATTATGAAAATTAAAAAAATAGGTGATTATTCATAACTTTTTGAATAAGGATCCCACTTAAAGTTCTTCATATAAAACATTTTTTTTAGCCTTTTCGAAAAAAAATAATGTTTTTTAGTTTCGCATTGCCGCTGGTTTTTATATTAAAACTTGCATTTTTTGATTTTTTAATGATGCTGCTGTTATTTTTTATAACAACCTTGAGGTTTCGCGATCTAAAACTTTTTTGGTTGATTAAACTTAATAAACATCCTTTGAGTCTATTTATAAACACCAACGACAAAAGCTTTTGTTCATTTAAGCAGAAAATAATGAAAAAACAAATTGAGAATGTACTCCTTTACAATGATCAATATAATCAATCAACCAACGATCAACAAACCTGATTATATTGGTACTAAGACATTATAACTTGCATAATGGAAATTGAAAATAAACATTGATGAGTTGTTTATAGAAACCAATATCGTATATTTTGTCTATTATAATCCTTTCTTGTAGTGAACGAACTTCCATAAAATGTTTTTCAAAAAAATATTATTCTCATTATGTATATTCAATAAATTCAGACAAAACCGCATCCTCCTTTGACATTGTTCTGCACTTTACATTTTTATATCATTTCAAAACTGAGTGGATTGATTGCCGAGAAATACCTGTCCCTTCATATGCTCTAGTAATTGTAATACTTCTGATTCCGCGATACCTTTTTAGCATTTAATACGTTACCGTTTTCTGTAAATTTCTTTGCCAGCCATGGAAATATGTTTCGAAGGAGCTCGGCGCTCTGGATAAATGCTAATAGACTGACGACGATCTGCGATTGCACTTTTATTATTCAGAAAGTATACTTGAAGCTTATCACGCCATGCACGGATGCTAAATTCGCAAAAAGCCATTTTCAAAATAATGACATTTACAATAATTCAACCATCAACGTTGTCAGTCAGGGCACTCTTTGAAATTTTACAAAAATTTCCTATTTTCGCCGATTTGTCAAAAACGAATGGACTAAAAGATAAAGTGTGTTACATCATTGTAATCGAAATAAGATATTCTATTAAACGCGCATAATATACAGGATGTTCCCCTTAGAAAATTATGATGTAGGCTTGTATGTCAGAAAATTGATAATGTTTTGTTTTATACGTCACATTTTGTTGTTTTGTTTGCCTTGATGTCTCTAAATAGAAAAAAAGTTAAAATGAACCAAACCATACCTTCGTGTCCCTGGGAACCGTCCCAAGTTCCCTGCTTAGGGCGCGATCTATCAAGTCGACGATGTAGCTCTTGCACCGGTGAAGCTCTAGCGCTCCGTGGTCATCCAACACCTTCAATGACCTCACCGATGGTTTCCTGTCCAGGGAGGTGGTCAGGGACGTAGTGGTCTTTTGCGGGAGGTACGAGATCGACTTGGAAGGGTTGCGTTTCAGCGGAACAATTTTCCGGGCAATCGTTTCATAATTGAAGCTTCTTGTTAAGTCGTCTTTCTGCGTTTTCTAAATGGAGAATATTCAATTCATATTAATTAATTCACAGGCCAAGAAAGATTTTGTAATTTGGTATTCTTCATATTTTTTTCGTTATGGCGACTAAACTAATAGAAAAACACACACAACATTTGTGAAATCAGTTTTGGGATGTCATATCTATTGTTTTAAAAATAGCATTAATTAGCGGAATATTCGAATACACCCGCCATTGGTGGATTTAAAAAAAATGCGGTACACCAAATAATTTTTTCATTAAAATGTCTACCGTGGTATTGCAGATATTAAAAAAATATATTTTAGAAAACTTTACCATCCTGTATCTCAAAAATTAACACGTGTAGGACATATGTCGATTTGAAGTTCTCTTTTTTAATTGGACCCGAAAATTGCCACCTCAATTTTTGTTATTCAATTCAATTTACTTAAGAAAAAAAAGTTAATTTGTGTACTATACTATATGTATATACTATTGACCAAGTTATTTTGCGTTTTATTCTTCTAATGATTATAAATTTTATTTTACAAGCTTTTCGCCAAAATTTGGGTAAATTTGGTCAAAAAGTTTGTCAAAAATAAATCAACTTGATGGTTAAAAGCCACAAAAAATAATAAACAGCTTAAGTGCCCCACCATTTTTACGAACAAAATTGATGAAATTATGTGAAATTATAGTGGTAGCAATAAGTAGGTTTAAAGCCCAAAATATTCTTTCTCTAAAACAGATAATAACTATTTGGACACCCTGTATGAATGATATGTGTTCAATAAGATAGCAACGACATTAAAAGTTTACTCCACCGTTTTTTGAAATTTGCCTAGAATGAAATTTACTGGGTGAAAATATGCCGTGGATTTTTTAAAATTTATTATATTAATATTTATTGTTATTTGTATGAAAATTTGTAGCTTAGTTCTTGACATATTTCAAGGTACATGTTATGAAATTATTTTTTTTTTAATTTCTATTCTTATTTCGAAACCCGGTATATAAACGCCTCGGCTAATTTTATTAAATGAAAATAAATAAACCTGAATGTTTATTCTGCCTTCGTCTTTGTTTTCGTCGCTGTGGTGGAGCGAACTGTCTTCCGCGCGATCAACGTGGTCCAAATTGACCATAGAATCATTGCCTGGCGGACCGTTCGTGCCATCAGGCGTTGAAATTTTTGCGTTTCTATCTTGCCTGGCCCGTATCGAGGCCGGTACCTAAACGTAACGTCAATGTAGGATAGTTAATAAATCTGTATTGCACCGATATTCCTAGTCTTATAAAGAAACTTGGTACAGAGTACTCAGCGTGGTGTCGGTTCTAAACCACTTTTGGCGAGAGAATTTGAATTTTCGTGAATGTTCGGCTATGTTCGCGCATCTGCAGAAGAGGGGGGGAAGTTTTGTGGAGGGGTAGAGGGAACATGTTGCCAATTTCCAATTGATTGACTTCAATACTAGTCTTATTTTAGATTTCGATCCCTATCCATTCATATCAGATTCCTCCCAGTTCGATAACAGTTATTGGAAACCATCTGAAGACTTGATTCAGGCAGAAGAAGAAAGTATAAATGAAAATGAAAAATTCGAAAATGTTCTCGCTTCTGTAGGCCGTTGCTCATTCTGTGAAACAATGTTACAAAAATCTGGAACTACCCCTCAGTTGTTTAAATTTTGGAAAATAAGAGAAACCAGTTTCAGTCAAGCTCTGAAGAAGCCAACAGGGTTGGCGAAACGTCAGCAATTTCGACAAAGCAAAATCCGACGCAAGAGGAATCCGGAAGTTTTGTAAAAAGCAAGAGTACAAACTGTGGGGATTGAAAATAAATATGGATAAATCCGAATCTTTATGTATTGGACACCAAGATGCAGATTTCGATTTGAATTTTGATTTTTTATTTTGATTAACTTTCAAATATCTAGGATCGACAACCCACCGGGATGGTACATGTTCAAGGTATATAGAGACAAAAATAGCACGAGGAGAACCAGATTGTTTGTCGAAAAATCGTCTGCTGGTTAAAGAATTTTGACGATCGATGGTTATGGAGAAACGCATGTTTCTCTGCAACTCAAAATAACCAAAAAAATTAACATTAAAAAAAAAACTTGGTAAAACTTGATTGTTGAAATGTGAACATGGACTTTTACTGCCCTCCGAAATTTGAAGTCGATATCTGCAAATTTAGGACACCTAACTCATTTCCTATATGGCAGGGAATAACACCCTGTGCAATAGTTAAATTTTCACTATTAGGGGGACCCATTTTTCAGTTTCTTTAAATATACGGCGCACCCTGTACATTCTTGAAAAGTTACCAAGAATAAAAGTTTACCAAGCCAAATTTTATGTGTCTTTTCCTTCAAGAATTGTTTTGGTCGCATAAACGGTTTTCGAGAAATGATCTTTTGTTAGGTCCTTGAAAATGCGATTTTTTATTTTTTTTTAATGCTTCCCTAGCCCCCCCCCCCCCCCCATTTCAATAGATTCCCTTAGGGGACCAAGCGTTATTCGCCTGCCAAGTTTGAAGACGATAGCTTCAATTTTCGGACACTTATCGTGTTTCATAGCAACATCCAAAAAACAGTCGAAAATTGAAAAAGAAAAAAAGATGGACGCCCAAGTTTGAACGCAGCCCTTTTTACAGGTCTTATGCATCCCGTGGAGTGTAACAAAGGAGCAAAATTTGAAACCGTTCGGAAGTTATGGTCGAAAAACCCTGGAACAGAGAACGGAGAATGGACAGACAAAAAAAATGTTTTTTGACGCTGATCATTTCATCCATTTTTCGAAAGTAAGAAGCCACAAGAGCATTTCATGGACTGATATGGAACAATACTCTTACTAAAGAAAACAAAAAAAGATTCTTCCAAAGCATAGTACAAAATATTACCTTATTTGAAGCAGAGTATGGCCATCAAAGGTAAGAAACAAAATAAGCACGGATACGTCTACGAGTCAGAAGAACTGACAAAATAAGAACTGCAGAAATTTGACAATGAATGAGTGTAGGCGACTGGAATGTAAGACAACTGAAAAGTGCCGCTGAAGAAGAAGAAGAAGAAGAAGAAGGTAAATAAAAATGGGTCTTACCTTCGGTTTCAGATACTTCGCAAATTGTTTGATCGAGTTGTCACCATTTCGCAAAATCGGATTTTCAGCGTACTCGCAGCATTGGTTTTCGGCCTCACCAACGGCGGGATTCGCATCTTCTTGCGAATGAATGGGATGGGAATCCACGACGTCGTATCCGGCATCGATCTGGTGAAATATCTTCGGCTGACGGGAGTGAGACGGTAAAAAGCAAAAATTGTCCACGTTTAGGTGATTATTGATAATTATTGATGTCACGAAGTAGTAATGAAAGTATATTGTAGTGCAATGGGAATCCCGATAGATGATAGTCGTGCTCCATTCACATTATTTTTTGTCGGGCGATCAGCTTGTGATTGCCCAGGACGCGTGTGACCTAGAATTCATGATGAAACGGCTTATGGCTTATGGGGGTTAGAGATGAGTCTTGAGAAAACGGAATACTTGGTAGTAACAGTGATGCTCGGTCTCAAGTTCTGGTTAATGATGATGAAGTGCAAATTTTTAAATATCCGGGAGCACTTGTGGATAAAAACGGAGTAGGAGAAACAAAAATAAAACACGGAATACAACAAAGTAGGAAAATCGTAGGAAGCCTTAATTCATTCTGGTGGGATAAAAACGTCCCAAATAAAAACACAAAGCAAGCGGGGAAAACAATGGCGGAATCATTTTTGAGCTATGAATCAAAAGTCTGAAGTTTAAATGCAGGTCTAAAAAGAAGGATCTTAGCTACAGAAATGGATTATACCAGAAGAACCGCAAGACTATGACGATTAGAAAGAAAAACCAATGAGGAAGTAAGAGCTCGAATGAAAGCAAAAGTAACGGTGCTGGATCCAATAGAAAGACGATTGGATAGTTTGGACACTTATTAAGAATGCCTGAAGAGAGATGGTCCTAAAAGAATATTTCAGTGGAGACCACCCGGAAAAAGGAAACGAGGCGGACCACATAGATCGTGGAATGAAACGTTCAGAGGATTAGTGATGAGCGAAATCCACAGGAAGAGGGTGCCTTAGATAGAGAGGTTTGGCGAGGAATAGACAAGAACGTAACTATATTCTGAGATATGATAAAAATGATTAACTCATGAAAGAGATATATTGTTAAAACCAAACTTACTAAAATTTCGTTTACAACATAAAAGATATACGTTTTTCTTTTTCTTGTCTTTTATTTCTGATGAAAATGATGAACTAATGAACTGTTAAACCCAAACTTATTAAATTTTTGTTTACAACAAAAAAGATATACTAAAAATATGATACATACGTTTTTCTTTTTCTTGTCTTTTGTTTCTGTTTACACTAAAGAAATAAAAGAAAATAGTTTGGTCTTTACTTTTCCTGGGGAATTTTTTTCCTTATCGGTACGCGCCTCCTCTTACATTGAACTTATTTTGTACGAGTAAATTACCTTTGTCGAGTAGCTGCGGTATTGGTCGTCCCTGAAGGTGGACGGCAGGCAAACCATCGAAGTTTTCTTATTCAGCGGTGACGTCATTGGTCTTTTGGTGGAGTACCTGGAATCCGATCACGTTTTTAGTTAAGAGACAGACAAATAAAATTAACAGTTGGTTTGAAACTTTTATTGAATTTTGAGCTGCACATTTTTTCCGACACGTCTTGTTTAAATTGCTGTCAATAAAAAACTATTTGACGCAAGATTTCAATTTTTTTTTTTGCAGCCTACTAAGATATATATGCATCTGTGCCAGGCCGGGAAATTTTGGCGCTAACCTCGTATTTTTAGCATTTAACAATTGCTGTTAAAATTTTTTGGGGTAGCCGCTATGCAATTTTTGGTAGCAAAATATTTTTTAAATTTTGAGACAATAAACTACACTTTTTAGGGTTTGATAATGTTAATTCTGTTACATTTAGGGCTGATTGTTTATTGACTTGTTTTATAATAGTTATTAATTTTCTTGGTTACATTTTCCAATACCTGTTTCCAGTGCGATATCTAGTACCTGAAAGTTATATTTACACTTTTAGAGTCACGTTTCGTGAATTCGAGTTTATTTACATTTTCAATGGAGGTTAAACCAATAAGTTCATAAAAACAAACTGTGCAAATTCGGGTATCGTATCTATCGTGTCTATAGGGCTGAAAGAACCAAAACGTCAAACTACTTACAGAATTATATTAAAGACGCCGCTCCGTATGCTGTAATTTAGCATAATATTAACCCTGTGCTTAATATTCTTTATATTGGTATACTACTTGGATTAAGTTTATTCTTATTTGGTGTGTAATACAGGGTGTGTTGAATCGTGAGCGAATTATGCAAAATATGTGCGAGTCTAGTGTATCTCAGGAGATGCTCCTGCCCACATGTAGAAAACATTATTCTATTGAGACTAAGGACGTTATAAACAATGTTTATTTGACTCTCATTGAACGTGGTGCCAGCAAGCAAGCATCTTTAGAAGAAACGGCCACTTTGACGAAAATTCCAACATCGACTGTATGGAAAATTGTGAATAATTCCATTTCAGCGAGGAAAAAAAGAAGCGATGCTGACATTTTCTCGAGTGTAGATGAAAGTGATCAAGATATAATACGGCGTAAAATTTATCAGTTATACGAGGAACAAAGCGTGCCTACATTAGATATCTTAATTAGGAGGCTTGGAAAAGATGAAACCGGTGTTAAATGTGGCAGAACTACCTTATGGAAGTGTATTCAACACATAGGTTTTAGATTTAAAAAAAATTGACAAAAGGCTAGTTTTAAGGGAATCTTTTAGAATTCGGAAATGGCGACTGGAATATCTAGAAAAAATTAGGATTTACGGAGAACAACAAAGACCAATTATTTACTTGGATGAAACCTGGTTCGACACTTATGATGAGTGTAAAACAAACGCGCCATCAAAAAGAGGTAAAAGAATAACTATTTTGCATGCTGGCTCTAAAGATGATTGGATTCCGAATGGACTTTGTCTGTCTGCGAAAAATATTAAAAATTCTTCTTTGGATTACCGCTAATTTATTTGAAAGTTGGTTTAAAAACAAACTAGTTCCAAACATTTCTCCTAATAGCGTCATTGTAATGAACAATGCAAGTTATCACGGTAGACAGTTGACTAAAACCCCTTACTATCGTATCAGTTGGCCACTTTCTTATATCTATGAACAAACTTTAGCTACGCATATAAAAGATCAGCACTCTTGACAAATTTAAACTCATAGTTTCTAGGAACAAAACATAATAAAGATTTCGATGCACGCAAGTTCAGTTTCCGAGATAAAGTAGTGCCCCGGGACAAACGTTAATCATTCTCCTCGTATCAATCGACTTGATGCGGACATTTCGGATCTGCGAGAAACTTTTCTATTGTCGCTACAAATTGCGAGCGCTAAACTCCGCGAAAGCTCGTCCACGTAAATAGCTCTGGGTTCCCCCGCCCCGCGCCCTCCCCCGCCAGCGTTTAAACAACTAGCAAGTAAACTTTTTAACAACTACTTTAAGTAACCGACTGCGATCTTTCAGTATTAAAACTTTCGTACGGGAGATAAGAGTTTACCGGTATTTTTTTTCGCTCCCCTTATCTTTACAACAAACTTTCGAAGCTATTTCGTTTAGTTTTGGGACCATTTTGAGCGCCAACAAACTCGCCAAATTCTATTATCCGTGACGACGTCACACGCACGCACCCCACGGGTCGATTCGTCACTATACGGGCTGTCCCACCGGGAATTTAATCGGTCTGTCGCGGGAAAACTACTACGTGGCAAAAAATTTGAAAATTTTTGATATTTTCAAGATGGCGGATACACCGGAAGTGGATGTCAACGTGTTATATTAAGTGGAACGCCTTATATACAGGGTGCGACAAAATGATAGGTACTATTTGGGATGTTAATAAAAACCAAACTACATAAAGCAAACATTTTTTGTTAATTATTTTTGAAATGTACATTTTATGCCATTTAGGAATGTTATTTTTTAAAAATGATGTCGTTTTAATGACGGCCATTATTGTCGATGCACTCTTGTAGGTTCTCGCGGAAGCGCATCATTACCCAATGGATCATTTCTTGGGAAATTGAGACGATTTCTTCCCTTATCGCAGTCTTTAATTCTTCCACGGACGATGTGTGAGAACCCTCGCTTTCAGGTAACCCCAAAGAAAAAAGTCGCAAGGCGACAAATCAGGCGAACGTGGCGGCCAGCCAGGATCACCCCGTAAAGACATCACTTTGTTTAGGAACATTTCTTGAAGATTTAGTGAACGACGCGTTGTGTGCGATGTAGCACCATCCTGCTGGAACCAAAGATGTTCTCTTTGATCGTTGTCCAACTCGTTCACTTTTAGACGCAGGAAATTGTTAAGCATATCAAAATATCGATCTCCGTTGACTGTTACCGTTATTCAATCTTCTTCGAAAAAGTAAGGACCCCACACGCCGAGCTCCGAGATTGCACACCAAAATCTCTTGCGCTTAATTCCTGCACTACCATCATTTTGTACAGCATTTGGAGTGAGTTGTGTAAAATTCTTTGAATACTTCTATCGGGAATTCCCAAAGCAGCTGCATGCTTACGAGCTGAACGCCTTGGAGACTGTTGTACGGAAACTCTTACTGCATTCACATTTTCCGGTGTTCTTACTGTCTTTGGTCGGCCAGTAGATTCTCGATTAAGCGCAGAACCTGTTTCCCTGAAGTGTAAAACCCACCGACGAATTGTTCTTCCATTCGGAACCGCGCCATGCCGACCAACATCAAACTGATTACGAAAGGCGCGCTGCGTCGCTATTACAGATTCCCCATTTCTAATAAACTCCTCGACAACGAAAGCACGCTGCACTCCGCTCCAAGCCATGTCGATAACTGAAAATTGCGTACTTTTGACTGCCTAACGCGAGTGCGTACACAGTGTTGCCGGTTTTACAAACCGAACAACCACTATTTGAAATCCGGCCTACCCTTTTTCCGCACCCTGTACTATTTGTGTATAATAGCCTATACTTAATTTTAACGTTCCTGAAATAAAAAAAATTACGTTTGCAGACCCAAGAATATCTCTAAATTTTTAATAATTAAAATAAAATTGAAAAAACTGTCCTTATACGTGTCAAAACAGTTTTAGAGAATACATAATAATTTTTATTTTCAAAATCGACATATACAATGTTTGTATAGGAATGTGTCAAGAAATAATAAATAAAATGACGCATAAACCAAGGCTACAAGCAGTAATCCGTAAACAAGGAAGGAGAATTGCTCACTAAAGTACTTACCGTTACCGACATATAAACATTTTTATACGAGCGCAGATAACAAGCCACCGAGATATTTACCAAGAGACGATATACCAAGTAAGGAAAGCAGCAGCCACAGCAGGTGCATTAAGGGATATAGTGTTTAGAAATAAATATTTAGGAATAGAAACGAAAACAAGAATCTCTATAAAACACGTATAAGACCAATAACCAGAGCCGACACAAAGAAAACAAAAACAAGCGCTAAGAACAACTGAAATGAAAACGTTAAGATGCATAATAGGAAAGACTAGACCAAACCATGTAAGAAACGAAGATATCCGGCAACAATGTAATATTCAAGATATACTAAGACGATGACGAGAGAGAAGAAGAAATTGGAATCAACAAGTAACGAGAATGAAAGAGCATAGATTAGCAAAGATCACAAGAGATGGAAAACCCGAGGGGAAAAGATCAAGAGGAAGACCACAAAAAAGATGGCAGGATAGGTGGTCATCAGAATTACAAATAACATTAAATATTACCCAGTAAAGTCATTGGACTTAACGTAGGAATAAAAAGAAGAAGAAGACTTTCACTAAATCAGGACTTGGTGTAAAATACCATTTTATTCTATTGAGAAATAATCTCACTGCGTTAAAAATGAAATCCTGTATTATAGTTATAGTATTTTTATGTATATAAGGTGTTCCGGTGTGCCAGGACAGTCACAACTTAATTTTTTTAAATCGGATCCTATCAATATTTTAAAAAATTCTGATTATTCGCTCAATTTTCAGTATTTTTTACCATCGCATAGGATCTGAAAAATGTGTTTGAAATCTAAAAATGTATTATACAGCATCATCAAAAACATGCGCACATTGTCGCATCTGTGTAGCAGTTGTTCTGTGATCTCGTGCAGTCTCGCAGAAACCACCACAGGGGCATTAAATTAAAGTAGAGGCCTAATGACGGTCTCTGTGTGCGTTTACGGCTAAGTCCTCTGGCATTAAGTGAGCGGCATCCCTTTGACTATATTCCTCCACTGTAAAAGCGATCCGCGATCGATCGGGATCTCTGCTAAAAGATTACGTGACTTGAAAACCGGGAAATTTTCTTGAATTATTGAGAAGGGTTTGTGTCAGATGTGGCATTTTAAGCCGGAAATATCTAACGGAACAACCATCATAAACGACTGACATTTTTGAGCAAATGCATGAAAAACCAGAATGATGATGACGATCTTTGGAGGAGGCTTGGATATTTAGACATTTACATGTTTGCCTTAAAATGACATTCTGGAGTATGCCGGTCTTGTCAATCGGGGGACTACCATTATGAACACTGATTTATATTTCTTCCTTATGAACAGAGAAAAAACTTGTAGTTATATGTAATAATTATGTATGTAATTTCGCTTTTACTTTAAATAATAATGGACAACGCATCCTATCACTGTGGACTTGCTGACCTAATCAAGATTGGTAGAGTGGCTGCAAAAAGTAATGTTCCATTTCAGCCAAGTCTATTGAAAGAAGTATTTTTCTTTGAATGTGAATTTGTTTCAAGATATAACCTGAAGAGAAGAATGGACAAGTTAGCATTGCAGAATGGCCATCGCGTTTTGTCATTGTCAATTTAGTTTGATAGATTGTGAAGGGTATTATGATGGAGTATTCATAGCATATTCATGTTGGATGTTGGTGATCAGCATGACTATTTTTACCTTGTTGATGGTGATTCGGAAAAGTTCTGCTGATGATTTGCTAAACCACGTTCTAAGGTTTGGTCACCAAGATACATCAAGTTCACGAAATTATATGTCTTTACATGGCAATTGTTTCGACAACACCGTGTCTTTATCAAATGTAATATTTACAAACTACCTGTTACTATATATACCGAAAAATGACAATAAAACCTTAACTAATGTTGTTGTGAGAATTTAAATTCAAAAAAGGAGAGGTATAGTCTGTTCATAGATATAAGAAAGTTACCAATTGCTTTTGAATGGGATTATCCAAGGGTGGTCATTAACATACAATGCAACAAGATTATTACCTAAACTTTCGGAATTTAAATTCAGGTAAAATTGTGGTCCGTAATAGAAAATAATTTTATACCTACCTTTGTTTAATATTCTTTGGTTTGGTATACTACTTAGTTTAAGTTTATTAATAATTATTCTTATTTCCTGTGTAATACAGCGTGTGTTGAATCGTGTGCGAATTATGCAAAATACATGCCAGTCTAGTGTATCTCAGGAGATGCTCTCGCCCAAATGTAGAAAACACTATTCTATTGAGACTAAGGAAGTTATAAACAACGTTTATTTGACTCTCATTGAACGTGATGCCAGCAAGCAAGCATCATTAGAAGAAACGGCCACAGTGACGAAAATTCCAACATCAACTGTATGGAAAATTGTGGATAATCCCATTTCAACGAGGAAAAAAAGAAGCGATGCTGACAGTCTCTCGAATGTAGATGAAAGTGATCAAGATATAATACGGCGTAAAATGTACCAGTTATACGAGGAACACAGCGTGCCTACATTAGATATCTTAACTAGGAGGCTTGAAAAAGATGAAACCGGGGTTAAATGTGGCAGAACTACCTTATGGAAGTGTATTCAACACATGGGTTTTAGATTAAAAAAAAATGACAAAAGGCAAGTTTTAATGAAATCTTTTAGAATTCGGAAATGGCGACTGGAATATCTAGAAAAAATTAGGAATAACAGAGAACAACAAAGGCCAATTATTTACTTGAATGAAACCTGGTTCGACTCTTATGATTCCCCGGAAAAGGGTTGGGTTGACTCAACTGATAAGTATAAAACAAACGCGCCATCAAAAAGAGGTAAAAGAATAACTATTTTGCATGCTGGCTCTGAAGATGGTTGGAATCCAAATGGACTTCTCTGTCTGAGAAAAATATTAAAGATTCTTCTTTGGATTACCATGAAGACGCCATCGCTGATTTATTTGAAAGTTGGTTTAAAAACAAACTAGTTCCAAACATTCCTCCTAATAGCGTTATTTTAGTGGACAATGCAAGTTATCACAGACAGTTGGCTATAACCCCTTCCTCGTGTGACACAAAAGCAACAATCCAAAACTACATGTATAATAACGACATTTATTTTCACGAAGATTATACCAAAAAGCAATTAAATGAGCTTCTACAAAGCTTGAACCTACAAAAGGAATACGTCTGTGATAATTATGCAAAAAATGTAGGGCATACAGTCTTAAGGCTTTCACGTTACCACTGTATATTTAATCCCATTGAACATATTTGGCACCAACTGAAATCTGCCATTCGTCGTGACAATGTATTTCCCCGTGTTAACTCCAATGTCCTCCAACTTATTGAAACCGAAGTTTTTAAGATCCCTCTACAAAGTTGGGCAAGTTCTGTTAAACATTTTAGATTTAAACATAAATACATACATATACAACTAAATATTGTTTAGTATATATCAACAAAACCCCAAATAATTAAATTCTAAGCAAAGTATGGACCTGTTGAAATTTTCCTATTGTGTTCTTAGTTCTGAAAGTTATTTTTAAACCAAATTTTGACAAATGTTTTGAAAGTTTTTTACTGGGTTCTGCTATGTATATAATTGTTTTGAATTGTTCGTGTTCTGTATTAGGTTTCGGATAAATAGAGTTTACTGTGGTCTGGATTTGTTTTTTATTTATAATTTTATCTATAATGCACGGATTGCAGCCGTTGTTCAGTGCAATTTGTTTAATGTTATTAAGTTCTTTTTGATTTGAGCTGTTATGTATGACTGTGTCCGTGCGCAGCTCAAATCACCTTTATACATAAAAAATGGCTGCATTTCACTCTTTTATATACAGACTTCTTCATACACCACTCTCCTTTATTGAACTTAAGTTCTCACAACATTAATTAAGGTTTTATTGTCATTTTTTGGTATATATAGTAGCAGGTAGTTTGTAAATATTACATTTGATAAAGACACGAAACAAATGTCATGTGAATATATATAATTTCGTGAAAATCTGAACTTTTTGTTCTTATTTACTTTGTTAAACAGATTTTCATCAAGTAAAAGCCACCTCAGTTCAAACAAAAACATTTATATTATTACCAAAACATTTGGAAGTACTTCCCTAATGTTCTATCCTGTAATATCTACCGGACCCGGGTTTTACTCCAGACGGGAGGTAACTTCCATAATTGCGGACAAAAGTCAACGCAACGAAGATTGAGACAGATTATAAAATTATAAAATGCTAGTAATATAGTAAAAACATACGGATCATTTTTTGCAGAAAATGAGATATATCCTGTATGCTATCCCGGCAGGGTTCGCTCACCTGGAGGTCTTCACCGTCACGGGATACCTCTTCCCCGCGATCGTCTTCTGGTATCCAGGTTCCGCTTTGTAGAGGCGTCCATCTCTTCCGAGGAAAACCCTGGGTGGGTGTTGGCTGTCGAATGGTTCGGTCTGGTATTGATCTTGGGCACATGGTTGCGGAGGATACAGTTGGGCCCTTGGAGGGTACAAGTCCGACACGTGGCGTGCTATAGTACTACTATGGAGTAGTTTGCGATGAGGTGAATTCGGCCTAGGTAAGCGGACCTTGGGGTTTCGATACTGAACGCCGTAATCATGGCTGGAAGACAGGAGAAGCCTTTAAGTATCTGAGAATTAGCGAACCTTTCCAACACGAGTCTCATAAGCCCGTAAGAAATGGCTGCGATCGTACAGTGGCGTCCGTCCTTTTTTCGCGATTTTCCTCTGCTTTTCGCAAATCGCTATAAATCGCAACTTCAAATTTGGCGCCCGTATAGACGGTAGGTGGGGGCGTTCTGGGAGGTCGGGAAACATTTTTGAAAATATGAAAATCACGTTTGCAAGGGTGCAAGAATTTTTTTTAAAAAAATGGTTACCAACATAAAAAAAATCATTAATAGTAATATTTTTTGAAAATGTACCGGGTACGTCAGTAATTTGCAAAAAACTGAAAAAAGGGTTAATTTTTTAATGATAATTTGTTATAATCGGTTGTCGGTTAGACAGCTATACATTCTTTATTTAACGTGTGCACATATTGTACAGGGTGTTCGGGATATTTTGTGCTATAGTGTATTATAAAAGATCGTAAATTTGCAGCTATTAACTTCAGATTTGGCAGAGATGTAGAAGTCCATACTAGTAGTTAAACTTTGGGCACTATTTTATATCTTAAAGCTTGCCAAATTTCATTTTTTTAAATTTTATATTTAACGCACATCCTCAAAAATTGTAACTCTTATTTTAAGTCGATAAGTGTTATCGTTTAGCCACAAATCGACTTTTTTCAGATTTTCAGTTATTTTTTTCAAAAGAAACTTCCACAAGCTACTGTAATACTTTTTACAAAACATCTGGATTCCTCGGTTTTTGTTGAGTCGAAATAAATAAGAACTAAAAGTTCAGATGTTCACGAAATTATATTGTCAATTGTCACGTCAAAATATATAATTTCGTGGAAACCTGAACTTTTAGTTCTTATTTATTTTGATAAATGGATTTTCATCAAGTAAAAGCCACCTCAGTTCAATTTTTGTTGAGTAACGTTCGTTCAGAGCTTGACTGAAACTGGCTCGCATTTTACTCTGTACCTGCTTATATACTATTTCAAAGGGGCGGAGCTAAATAGGTGGTATAAACACCGTCTCGGATGACTGATTTCCATATTGGTGACAGGTAAATACCTGAGTCCCGGTTAAGATTGTTATTTTGCTTATAGATTCATCGGTAGAAGTAATAATTTATCGAATAAAATTTTATGTCTTAAGGCTCTTTCATGTTCTTTGAGCCCAGTTGACATTTTTCGTCTGGTTTCTCCAAAGTATTCTTTGCCGCGTATGCATGGAATTCTGTTAACTCCTGACATCTCAAATGAAAGGCTTCCAAAAATATATTCGCGATGACTAGTTATAGTGGAAACTAAGTAAAACTATCAGTTTTCCCTGTAAAGGGTTTTAATAAAAAAGCTAGATATTTTGCTTCAAAATATGTTGGAGAACCAATGGTGCTGACAATAGAACGAAACACCTTAAAATTTTAATCGATAAAACTAAAATTATTGCATGCAATCAATTCTTTTACCAAGGCAAAATCCGAGAATCAATAAAAATCTATAGGCAACGATATCCGCGACCTTTTGTCAATATGGTTTCACCAAGGTTTTTTTTTCGCCTCCATCCATAGTTAATTTTCTTAACTTACAAACATCACAATAAATTTTATGAATTTATGTACTCACTTGACGGGTAAAAATTTGACAATGTCATTTTGTCATGATCAACTAATATTATAGAAATAGTCTTAGACAGAAATAAGGGCAAACATTAGACAAGTTAAATTAAATCGCGAATTGTTCTACCAACGAAAAATCCCATATGGAAATCAGTCACCCGAGACGGTGTTTATGCTCCTAATTTAGCTCCGCCTCCCTCAAACTATATATAAGTAGGTACAGAGTCAGATGCGACATGGTTTCAGGCAAGCCCTGAAGGAGCCAACAGGATGATTGGCGAAACGTCAGCAAGTTGGACTCAATAAAAACCGACATTTTTTAAAAAGTATTAGATTTACAATCATGAATCAAGAAGCTTATAAAAAATGGCTAAATAATCATCGACAACTATAACGGACTTCAATAAAATATTACAGACGATCTTGGACCTCTTAAAGGAGGTAACAATAAAACAAATATATAACTATTCAGTAGAACAACATAATTTATGTCCATGCTAAACCGCACTGTATTCTCAGTGTGACTCGGACTATAGAGACGCGCGTCAACGGCGGAAAACAATTAACACGTAAATTATGCACAATGGCGTAGCATATAGAATACGAAATTACGGTGTTACGAAGGGGGGGAAAGTTTAAGTTTCCGCCAAAGGACCGAATCCGGACGTTTGACACGCAAGACTCTCGGGTCTTAATAAATTAATCACCCCCCAACCCGTACGAAACGGATCTTGAGCGTCACGAAGTCGGGACGGATGGGGTCTACTTCCGGTTGATGAAGACGTATCGAAGGACACTTCCGTTTTTTGCGGAAGTCGCACGGTATACGCCATACCAACATTTTTAGCAACTTAAGGTAACGGATATTCATAACGTTTAAGCGTCTAATATACAGAGTGTCTCACGACATTACTGAAGCAGTTCGAGAGCGGGGTGATTTCAAGTTAGCTAGGGGGAACTAGTCAGTTCCCCCTGTGATCCCCCAGGCGGAAGAACTTTTACCAAATCCGTTTAATTATCCGTATTAATATTACCTTGGAAAAATTAAAAAAACATCAAACACGCAGCAAAGGAAGCTTTGGAAACTCTAGAAATAACACAACATAAAGACAAATAGAACAAAACGCTACAGTTTACCAAAGAAATTAAAGATCTTAAGCGTACCATATCAAGATACGCTTCACCACAACCTTTCCCAAGACAATGAGTCCAAAAGCAACCCCACACTTGCCACTGGTGTCCTTCCTGGTCCAAAAATCTGTCGATCCGCCATAGAAAAAATTCCATTTGACATACCAGGTGTTTACGGCATTCAATACATATGAGTAAAACAGCTTTAAGACTATAACAAATAAACTCCTCAGCAGTTGCCGAACACAATTACGAACCCCGATATCAAATTTTATTGGATAAAAATAAAATTCTTGGGTGTAATCAATTCTTTTACCAATGAAAAATCTGAGGAATCAAGAGAAATCTATAATCAACGATACCCTCGACGTTGGTCTTTACTTTTCATCAATGTGAGTAGTATGCAGTATAAGTAGTCTTCTGGGTATTGATTCATCGAATTTTCCTCTATACTCCGGGTGTTCTATACTTTAGTAATTTTTATTTTTAATCCATTCTTGTTATATTGGGCACTATTTACTTTGTTTTTTAATATCAACCACAAATTTTCAATTACATTTAAGTTTGATGACTGGGCTGGGGTCGTTGTCATGGTAGAACCGATAATTGTCACCCATATTTAATTTTGGGCACTAGCAACCAGATGCTGCCTTAATATATCCAATTACACATATTGGTTTATATTTCGTTCAATGAAATGCATTTTACAATGCTTTACCGTAGCTTTAAAATTTTTCCATTTTAATTGTTCCTTAGGCTTTCTCCATACTGATGTTGAACTTGAAATCTTTATCGATATGTTCCCTGGCGAATGCCAATCTCGCGCGTCTATTTCTTCGGCTGAGGAAAAGCTTACAGGTTTTCAAACTGTCTGTCCACCTCGACACACATTTTTGGAGCACTTTTTTGGATAATTCGATACCTCTTTTACAATACATCTGTTCTCACATTTATTGGAGATCTTATTTGACTTATTCTCGACCCTATTTTCGTTACAGTGACGCCCAATGATATGCTGAACAGTTGACGGACATTTATTTACCATATGTCTCTTTTTCTGTAATTTCTCTCAGAAATTGTAGTCCGACTACCCAATTTAAAAAAAAATCGTTTTACTGAACGAAAACGTGTTTTAACATGTCGAACTAAACAAGGAACAATTGCAGGAATAAATAAAAGTCTTGGTAAATTTCAAACTGATATTAGTTTTTTTTTTGCATCGTTTAAGCTGTTAGTCACTGCATAGTATTACAGTAGCCTGTGGAAGTTTCTTTGAAAAATCCAGGTCAATCAGATTCTGATAATCAGAGATGATGATCAAGTTTTGACTACGTAAACGTAAACGTAAATTTTATCAATTTAATTACTCACTTGTGAAGTAAAAATTTGACAATGTATGTGTGAATGACGACTAATTTTATAGCAATAGGGTTAGACAGAAATAAGGGCACAAATTAAATCGCAAAGTATTAAAAATAGGTACATGATATACATAATAAATGTTGTAGGTTTTTGTAAGACCTTTTATAAAAAATAATATATCAGTTATCTGTGTGACTTGGACTATAGAAGTGGTGGAAAACCAAATAGGCGGGGAGCCTACTTACCCTTGGGGCGGCGCCTGCCGAAAAGTTCTAACTCGAGATCCCTTCTCGCCGTACCCTTCGATCTGCAAAACAAAAAGTTCTAATTATTTACAAAATTAAAATTATTTTTATTACCTACTTAAATTACTTAAAATTATTCACATAATATATCAGTATCACTATCGCTATTATCGCCTGTTCTAAGTATTATTTGTTCTATATTATTTGCAATATGGATATACGATTGTTCTGCGTTTTCTATATGTTTAACAGAATTTACCCAACTTTGTGGAGGGATGTTAAAAACTTCGGTTTTTAAAAGTTTGAGGATATTGGAGATAACACGGGGAAAAACATTATTACGACGAATGGCAGATTTCAGTTGGTGCCAACATTGAACAATGGGATTAAATATACAGTGGTAAGGTAGAAGCCTTAAAACTGTATGCCCTAGATTTTTTTAAAAATTATCATAGACGTATTCCTTTTGTAGGTTCAAGCTTTGTAGAACCTCATTTAATTGCTTTTTGGTACAATCTTCGTGAAAATAAATGTCGTTATTATACATGTAGTTTTGGATTGTTGCTTTTGTGTCACATGAGGAAGGGGTTTTAGTCAACTGTCTACTGCAATAAATTGCATTGTCCATTACAATTAAGCTATTGGGAGGAATGTTTGGAGTGGTTTGTTTTTAAACCAACTTTCAAATAAATCAGCGATGGTGTCTTCATGGTAATCCAAAGAAGAATTTTTAATATTTTTCGCAGACAGACAAAGTCCATTCGGAATCCAACCATCTTTAGAGCCAGCATACAAAATAGTTATTCTTTTACCTCTTTTTGATGGCGCGTTTGTTTTACACTCATCAGTTGAGTCAACCCAACCCTTTTCCAGGGTATCATAAGTGTCGAACCAGGTTTTATCCAAGTAAATAATTGGCCTTTGTTGTTCTCTGTAAATCCTAATTTTTTCTAGATATTGCAGTCGCCATTTCCGAATTCTAAAAGATTCCATTAAAACTTGCCTTTTGTCAATTTTTTATTTATTTTTTTTTAAACCCATGTGTTGAATACACTTAAATAAGTACATACATTTAACACCGGTTTTATATTTTTCAAGCCTCCTAATTAAGATATCTAATGTAGGCACGCTTTGTTCCTCGTATAACTAGTAAATTTTACGCCGTATCATATCTTGATCACTTTCATCTACACTCGAGAAAATGTCAGCATCGCTTCTTTTTTTCCTCGCTGAAATGGGATTATTCACAATTTCCTATACAGTTGATGTTGGAATTTTCGTCAATGTGGCCGTTTCTTCTAAATATGCTTGCTTGCTGGCACCTCGTTCAATGAGAGTCAAATAAACATTTCTTATAACTTCCTTAGTCTCACTAGAATAGTGTTTTCTACATTTGGGCTGGAGCATCTCCTGAGACACACTAGACTCGCACGTATCTTGCATAATTTGCACACGATTCAACACACGCTGTATTACACACGAAATAAGAATGATTACTAATAAACTTAAACTAAGTAGTATACCAAACCAAAGAATATTAAACACAGGTAAGTATAAAATTATTTTCTCTTACGGACAACAATTTTAACGGAATTTAAATTCCGAAACTTTAGGTGATAATCTTGTTGGATTGGATGTTAATGACCACCCTTGGTTAATACCTTTCAAATATATCTATATCTATGAACAGACCATACCTCATCTCTAGGCGAATCCGACTCTTTCCCGGTCAAATTCGGACTGTCAATCGCGTCGTAGCGATCGTCGTAGTCGCCATTTTGCCAGTCGTAGCTCGCGACGTCACGAGGATGGCCGTAGTCCGCCGCGCCTTCGTCGAGGTCCATAATTTTATTCTTTCCGTCGATCTATGAAAATTTTAATAGACCATCGTTTTTCTCCTTTCTACGTTGCACCGTTCTCACCTTTTTTGCAGTGGCGCGAGGTCAGAGATTACCTTTTTAGATAAGAAAAAAGCAGCCCTTCATCGAACACAGAATCTACGCGAGAATCCCTTCGCAGCGTCGGATCTTCTGTCTTTTAGTTCATATTCTGACGTCTGTCGCGATCAGACCTGCGCGAAAGCGCTAGTGTCAATTTTTATTCTGTGACGTCACGCTCCCTTTATTTTTTTTTTTGGAATTCCGAATAAAGTAAATAAAATAACTGATAAGCATTATTTGTTACAATTTATTACTTTATAATATGTGTTTATATATGAAAACACACATTTGACAATAAATATTTCAAGTTGGAATCGAAGGAAGACAAGACAAGCACGTTACGAGTATAAATGCCATTTCAAGCGTTTTTTTTTTTAAGTGTTGATTGATCACTTTTTGTATAGACTATGGAAATTGCTATTTATAAATACTGTATTGTTTGTTTTTGTTGAGTGCAACTTCTAAAAATTCAGGCCAAATTTTCATTGCGAAGTTGGATAAACTGAAAAAGAAGCTAGAAATTGAGATGGAGATTTAATTACCTTCAAGAAATTAAAAGACATATATTAGACAACAGATCCATAATTTACCCTGATGAAACATTGTTCGATCCATACGACACTCCAAAAATGGGTTGGTTGTTTTCAGTTAAACTCTGAAGAGGCCAACAGGATGATTGGCGAAACGTTAGCAAGCTCGACTCAACAAAAACCGACGCAGGAGGAATCCAGAAGTTTTGTGAAAAGTATCACAGCAACCTGTGGAAGTTTCTTTGGAAAATTTTGGAAATTGCAAAGCACCAGCCTCATCAAGTTCAAAAACTGAAATCCAGCAATATTTGTTAGCAAATTATATTTATTTTGAATTCAGTTACAAAATAACGAAACTTACATTATATTATTAACAAAATAACGATTAATTACGAGTTTAGGTCATCTGAATTGCCTCGCTACCACTAAAGGCTTGGCCTTGCCTGCATATGGCAGGCCGTTGTTTCAATGTGTCTGACGCTGTAGGTGGTCTTCATCATCTAATATCAAAATTGCAGGATTTTTATTTGTTTCTCATAAAAAATTTTTCACTAATCAGTTCAATAAGAGTGCTCTTAGGCCATCTCCCTCATGTATTCCAGATTTGATATTCGTTTAATTCATTTTTCATTTTAATTTTGATTTTCTTGTTAGTTTTAATGTCTTTATTCATCCTCGAAATTCTGCTGGGCTTTTTTTTTCTTTTAGTAGTTTTAATACCTCTCTTAATCTGCCATTGATCTTAGTATTGTTTACCTGTTTTGTCGGAAGCCTTACAGAGATCTTATTGTGATGGTACTGTAAATGCTAGGATTCTTTTTCTCTGTAATAATATCTTCTTTTGTTTTGTTGTTCTGACGACTTTTTGTCCTCAAGAGCTAATAAAATGGCCAAACTGAAGTTGGATATCTTGTAAACTCTAAACTCATTTAAAGTATAACTTTAAATTCTCCTTTGTGTGATATGTTCTTGTAATGGATTTACATTAAATATAACAGATGTAACAGTACTATAGATACACAACGGGTAATAAGGTGGTAAGGGCGCATTTGCGTATAAGTAGTGAATTCGAAGTGAAAAGAAGAACGACAACAAATACAGATCAACTAGACATGCAAAACCTTGCGGAAAATAAAAATCTAGACAAAGAGAAAATAAAATAACAATTAATGCAGCACCCAGACCGTAAAAATCCGGAAAAAAACGACTCTCTAACAAAAACATTGAGACATGTCGCAATAGGAGTAGCTATGGATGGATAAAATATAAAAAAAAGAATAATAGAGTTCTATTTTGCAACCGCTCATGGACATCTAGTATAGGCATTTACCTATTTTTTTTCCTAAACCCTATATTTAATTGTTTTTCTATACTACTACACTACTATACTACTAGTTTGGTAATTTAACCAGCTTCGTATATCTACTCATTACAAAGTTAGGAATGATGAAAACCTAATTTAATGTTAATGTGAATAGAAAAAACGTAAACAGAGGAGAAATAAATAAAAATTATGATACGTCAATTTTTTCCGCTTATTCGACCATTGCGCGATTCCTGCTGAGTTCCGCAGGACGGAGGCGGTCTCGCAGAAAGACGCGGCCTCGACGTCGATGTCAGCGTCAGTCGCCTCTGGAATTTCGGCCTGTTTAGATCCTTAGGGAACGTGCCGTTCCGCGTTTTCCGCGTTTTCCACGAATCGACGCACCAACTTTTGTTCGCTCCGTAACTTTGAAGTTTCCGTGAATGAAGTTTGACCCGTGAGGTTTCGATTATCGCATGGAAGGGGTGAGTTTTTCTTTTTTTGCTTTTTTTTTTCACAGAAGAAAAATCCAGCGGCAAGCGGTAGGTCGTTTCAAACTTTTCTAATCATAAATTAAATAATACATTTTCTGAGAAAGAGTTTCACATTGTTTCAACTTTAATTTAAATCACTCAAACACCAATAAGAAGTTGCTGTTGACGGTAATAACGACATTATCATAAACAATCGCGTATTGGCTAATTTAATAAAATCTCACAGTGACAACTAACAGTAAATTGGAAGATCTTAGTATTTAGAAGAGCAGATAGAGGAAAAACACTCATAACTCTCGATTCTCTAGAATATATTACAAAAACCAACCAGTTCATACAATTACAGATTCATTACTTTTTAATGACATTGAAAAGTAAGAATTAATAATCATGAATACTTAACCTCAAAAATTATTTTGTAGCAGAATCATCACTAAAACCTTCAACAAAATTAATAAAAATTTTAGTCATAGTCCGCAAGGTAAAAACATTGAAATTCCTGCTAAATCAATTCTAGTTTTAATTGATGTCCAAAACCTATTTCGTAGCTTTCCATGACGAAATGAACAGAGACAAATCAAGCCCATCATAAAACAAGGCACGTTTTGATAATTTATAAGTTTAGACCAAAATTATTTTGAATTTAATTATATTATATATTTATATTATTTATATTATTTAATTATGGGAAACCCTCTTGCAGAAATTTTCATGGACAATATCACACATAGACATCCTCCAAATTGAAGATTTTTTTGGTGGTATAGATGCTTAGGTGATGTTTTTGCTCACGTACCCTCACATATACAAAATGGCTGCCTCCTATTCTTTATTTACCACTTTCTACCGAAAATTTTGAAAAATAATAAAATATTATTAAACAATGACAATGGTTTCGACCGTTTTCAATAATATATACCAGAACATGGAGAAGTTAAGAGAAATATTAAAATTGATTCACGCGGGCATACTGTTTCCTTTGTAATACCAAGTTTGCCATGGAAAAGCGAATATTCGGCTGTGAAATTCACTCCCTAATTTATATTTTAATTTTGTTTAGATTATACCTTTTTTATCATTATTCTTCTGCTAGTGCCTATAAAATCTTGTTTATCATTACTTTATTTGCATTTTTATTTACTTTGTATTTACAAAGTTTACTATATATATTTTTTTTTTAAATAAAAACTTTGGTCGTAGATGTAGTTATTTTCAGGTAGTCCTGAATACGAATCTGTTATCTGTCATTTCCATTTTGAAAAAAATCCAAAAAGTACTTCTCGCTTCTCGCTGCAAAAAACTGTGCCATCTCTGTAATAAGATCTATCCCGGACAAAAGAATTATCAAAATTGAGCTATAAAGAAACCTTCGACAAGATCAATGTAGTAGTTACGTAGTCCTGGATAGGAACTTGTTGACACTTTTTCTATATTTGACATCTAAAATTAGTCCAGCCGGTCATAACTTTAGGTTGATGTAAAAAGAAACATAAGCTTTTTATATTGGTATAGTTAGGATCTAGCTAATCCTGAATAAGATTTCTTTGCCTATATATTGGATTAAGATTCCCCAATAGTACTTCTCTGTTGTCTTTCTTTTGTAAATAGTCACAGTTAAAGGTTTTAGTTTATTTTTCAGAGATCCATAAAACAAAAAAATATCAAAATCGATCCATAAACAAAGATTTCACAAAGGTGTATAGTTCTTAAGTGGTACACGCTGTATATAAATGGCGGATATTGTCGTAAAAATAGCTGTGAAAATCTGAACATTTTTTGTTCTAATTTAATTGTGTTAAATGGATATTCATCAAGTAACAGTCACCTCAGTTCAAGAAAGAAATATTACGCAGAAATTATCAGAACGAATAAATCCAATAGTATACAGGGTGTCCCGTTAAAAAAAATCAAATTTGACGCTAGTTTTCCGACAGTTTATATTTATTTTTTCTTATCCGTTTTAAATTCGCTACCAATTCGATCGACTAATTTATACGGAACGTTTAACTTCCGACCGCATAACGAAACCCCCGAAATAATGAAACTGTGACGCTACGCAGTAAATTTAATCATTTTGTCCGATCGGGTCGAGCTTGCATCGGCAGATTGCTAATTATTTATTGTCCCTTTGTTCGACGCGCGCTCGCTGCAATCGCTGACATCTGCTTTTTAAGCGGCGCAGTCGGTAGGATCGCCGATAAAATAAAATGACGGGCACGTCTATCCTGGTTTAAGCTTGGTTTTGGTAAACGAAGGTCCTGTTTTGACAAAAGTTAATAAAAATGATAATGACTTCGTTATCACAGAGAATACTCGTAATAATAAAAATTAATAAAGATGCCCAAAATAAAAAAAGATGATTAGTGATAAGTAGATCAGGTTAGAGAGTCAAATACTCTTGCCCGGTAGGTATTAAAGGCTAGAACATTAGGGACGGACTCTCAAACGTTTTGGTAATAATTTGTCTTTTTTGTTTATTCAGGTAGGTGTAATCTTACACTAAGAAAAAACGACGACATTAAATATATCAGAATCGTCATTAATATTAATTATAATGGGATTTATGTTTTTTTTGTATAGAAATGTATGCTGTACTGAACTTTTCCATCTGTCAATTGGTATGTTGTTAAATTTTTTTCTCAAATTTGAGACACTGGTACTTAAATACACTACTCTTCGAAGTAACTTGAATGACGCTGAAGAAATTAATACGTTCTTTTCGCAGTTACTTTTGTTTTGAATTCACAAATCTTGCTGATGTTCATAAATATATTCATGAAATTAAAACAAATGCCACTGGGCTTGACCAAATCTCTCCACCTATGCTTAAATATTGCAGTCCTTAAATTGATAAGTATGTCACTCGCATTATAAATTCTTCCATGGAAGTAAACTATTTTCCAAAAAGCTGGAAAATGTCACTTGGAAAACCATTACCTAATAATGCCCCGACAAGTTTCAATGACGTAAGAATAATAATTATATTACCGTCACAATCAAAAATTTACAAAAAAGTTCTTTATAATCAAATGTATACATATATAATGGAACCAGAAAGTCAGTGCAGTTTTAAATGAAAGTCAAGTACTGCAGAATGCTTGTGTTCGTTTTATTACGGGTCTTCGAAAATATGACCATGTATCTGCTGGATATCGTCAACTTATATTCGTTATGAAAATTATCCATAACCTCAATTCACTCAGTTTGCTGAGAGAGCGGCTTATTCCTAGGAGTACTATCCATTCTGTGAATGTAAGATACAGGTACAGACTAACGATGCCACATCATCAGAGAGCCTTGTTTCATAGACCTTTCACATTCAACGCAATTACTCCTAGTGTTACAAATTTGATAAAAAATATAGTCAATAACAGACTGAGAGCTGGCAAAATTCAGTACAGCACATTATAAAAAATTGGGATTCACATTTCTATGCAAAACAACATAAATCCTATTATAATAATCTCAATGACGACTCGATAGTGAAATAAAATTAGAATATATATGTATAGATGTTTTCAGTTATTAATTTATTGTATACATGTCATTGTTTTTCTTAGTGTAATTTAATTAGTAAACAAAAAAATATTATTACCTTATATTTCATTGTACCCAAAGAACCATATTATAATTCTTAAAACCTATACATTTTGAACAATGTTCCGCACTACAATAACTAATAATCAGGTGTTTTATTGTCGTCAGCACATGAGCTCGCCAATTGCCGTCGAAAGTCAAGACGTCATACTTCGAGACACACTATAATTTTCCGGTTATCGCTTCCATCTTCGTGAGAGTCGCTTATTAAAAACCAAATTAATTAACAAAGTTTCCCGCCGCAGCTTCGAGAAACCCTAACAAAATGGAGGATCGTCTCCGTTTTAATTAATAATGGAAAGCAACGTCGCGATTCTTTCAAAAAAAAAAAAAGAAAAAACGGGTCCCGATTAATACGAATTTGACGCCCGAGTTTACCGACTTTTTCGGATATACGGGAATCGAAAATAACCGCTTCTCTATTTTCGAATCCGACCGAACGCGACGGTCGCCCATAAATTAGATGATTGACTTTAATTAGACTTTCGATTATTACGGGAACCTTTTGATTGAGCCGACGAGTGCCAGGGAGAGGAAATTCTCTCTGGAGATGCAAAATAATATTAATGAAATAATTTTAATTATTTGATAATTAAAATAAAATAAGTTTTTTTTTCTAACGTATTTTTGACAGGACTGTGGCATCACGGGAGAAAATTATTTTAAACAAAAAGTTTTGATCGACCTCTATTATTTCATTTATAACGGTGCATATTAATTAATTCGGCTGAAGCCAAAATCCACACTTTTTTTATTTACTGAGACCACAATAAAATTTATGAATTAATTCGCTCAGTCGTCAGTGAAAATTTCATGTCATTTTGTCATGGTCAACTAATGTTCTAGCAATAGTCTTACACCGAAAGAAGTGTAAATATTCAAAAAATTCAAATAAATCGCAAAAATATGTGATATGGGGTTGACAGGGAATACTAGTAACATTTTAACTTTTCAATTTAAAATGATCTAAATATTCGTTTATTTTGTTCACCCTGTAGCATAGAATCTTAGAAAAATTAAAATTACTATTACGTGTAGGTTAATAAAAAAGGAGTTTTTCATTAAAAAAAATGTACGCTTTTGTGAGCCACCCTGTATACTTTAAAATAATTTTAAATGCTGCATCCTAATAATGTTATATGTCGTTGATTCACCTTGTAGAGTATTTTACTTGGCACGCCCATCAATTTGGCCCGGTCTATTCGCCTCACCGCAGTACGATGACAGTATCACGTGTCGCATTTAGGCGGGGCATTGCGTCTCCGTGGGCCCTTGCAATTAATTAATAGCACAATCGATTTTCGCTATAAATACAATTATTATTTACCATAATAACGCCGCGTTCCAAAAAAAGGCGGTCAGTTTTGATTGAGGTTTGAGGATTTGAGGATATTAAATTTTAAGCTTTAATAATTCTCGAGATAATTTTTAAACCGCTACCCAAACAAAAAATGTTCATTCTCTAACATTCAACGGCGATTAAACCCTCTAACATTATTCTGTGACTAAAGTTAACCGTGTTTCCAATAAATATAAGGAAGAATGTTGCAAAATTTGGTTTTTTCTTCTTTAAATGCTAGTCATAGTTAAAGCGAGTACTATTTTAAAGTTGACACAAACTGAGGTCTTTTCTGTGTAACGTTGTTTGCTTTATAGGAATGTTGGGGCCCATTCTGGCGAAACAACCCATTGAAAACCGCATTTCAATATCTGTATCCTAACTTAAATACGAATAAAAGACCTCGAAGTTCAAAAAAAGGAATAATTTCCACGTGCCCGAATGATATTTAAACTTAAAATTATATTATTTATCTCGATTTCTTGTTTTTTCCACTCTACCACGGATTAACATGCTTAGCGGGTTTCGAATATGTAATATTGCCTAATATTTCCTTTTATTTTACTTTATTGTATTCAAATTTATTCATTAAAATAATGTCATTCGATATTATTGACGTTATACTTTTTAAATTTCCCATCATCTGCACATAATATTCTTCATTAATCTAGTTTTGCTTTACTTCATAAACAAAGAGACCAAATCAAAAAGACTCTTGCAATTGCTTCCATCTTGCCCCCATCCGAGTTCGATATCTTTTCAAACCCGAGTCATGACAAAGCTAAAAGTCTTAATTTTTCTTCTTCCCAGAATCACATTCAAAAATTTATAAAACCAGCTTCAACACTAGGGAAACCATCAAACTATTCTCAAGTTCCAAGCACTGTGGTAAACGTATCATGACACTAACCTTCGGAGACTCTTGTAAAAGGTTTCAACTTCATCCTTCGTATTATCTCAAAAGAGGAAACCATTTCAAATGTACAGTCAATCCTAAATAAACCTAAATATAATTTTCTTGCTCTAAAATCTAATCGTGACATTGTTATTCTAAAATCGTATATTTCCTTCATGGTCATGAATGCAAGTGAATATCAAGAACAAATTCAAGGTATTCTTACAGATCCTATCTTGACTTTTGTAAAACAATACGAATACATTCACTGACATGAACTTAATGCATTGTCACATCACCCTCTGACCCAAAAACCATCCAACACTGAGGCAAGACTCAAAACACCTTACGTATCCTCTTCTCTCTAATAATTTCCACATTAGAGATATCACCCGTTCTATCACATAATACGCTTCACCACAACCTTCCAAAGACAATGAGTCCAAAAGCAACCCCACGCTTGTGACTGTTATCCTTCCTTACATTCAAAATATCAAAAGTTCTTAAGAAATTGTCGCGAATCGCCCCGCATGAGCCGCAACGGCAGACGGACTCGCGAGGGATTTACTTAGCAAACTCGGCGGCTGATTTGGGCATTAAACGACCTCCGAAATTAAACCGAAGCCCCGAAAACGAGAGATTACGTCTGGAAAGCCCGGTTAATTCCGCCCCGAATTTGTTGTCGGTTTATTTTAATCCTTGATGGAAATTTCGTACTCGATTTAAAGTAACAACAAAATCCGCGCCGCACAGATCGAATGATCGTTGAATCCAATTAAACTTTGCCGCTCTGACGCGGCTTAAAGGAGAGCTTTATCTCGTGTTTATATTGCGTTTTATTTCTCGGCGGGTATGGGCACGCGGCCTTGGGCGATTTGCCTCCAAATGTAAAAGAAGAAGAAACCGTTCTACGCTTTGACAGCGCAGCGTCTATGTTCCCGGTTCTTCGCGTAGGGGAAATTAATACAAAATAAGAGTGATAAAATCGCAAATTGCGTTCCAGGAATTGATTTATTTTTATAGAAATGCAATATGAGCCTCTCATTATTATTTATTATTTGCAACGCCGAACCAAGCTACTGCTATTGTTGTTTTCATTGTGTAAAGAATAGTGTTGTCTTATTATTTAAGTGGTTTATATAGGACTTCTACTCACAAACCCCCTGAGTGAGTCAAGTGTAAGAGAATCAAGTGCATTATATCGTCGGTTTCGAAAGTTATGAGAAAATGGTAAATACAAAACATGTAGAGTGGGCTTAAAAAAGCGTGACCAATAAATCTTTTTTGTTTAATCTCGTTTTGAATTCCTTGTAAAATTCTTCAAACTTTTTATTAATAATAATATCTAGAGCAATATCCTAATTTTTCTAAAAAAATGTTAGTTTCCACGTTTGCAAATTATTATTATAAAGAAACGCTGCTACACGAGCAACTTAAGGGACCGCAATAAAATCGATCGTTTTTAGTAATCAGAAGTTTACGTATTCTGGCCCAAATAAAAAGACCTCCATAGGATCGGGACATAAAGTGAAATGAATGTTTCCGTTTTGTTGCGACAGGCTTTATTGGAAAGTCAGCTGTTCAGTTTTAAAACTTTCCCGTGAATCGAGGACCGATATCTTTATATCAAATCACAAAGTAGGAAATAAAAACGTAACTAAGAAAAACTAGACAGATAGAGGATCTGATTATGCTGATAGGACAGCAACTCATGAAGCAACTAGGTAAAAAAATTGAGAAGGTATGCGCGGAAAATCATAACCTTGGATTCTGCGCATAAGTACAACATCACATTAACCTTTTCTACTGCAGTATCTTCTTCACCAACGTTATCTTTTGATGTCCTTTGACCACATTATGGCCACTTTCTCAATTCCAACGGATTCCTACCAACAAGTTTGTCGAAATTTTACTTAATATTTGATGAGATAACTTGCCAACTTTGTTTCCAACTTAACAGAAGTAATTAGGAACTCTGGATTCAAGATTCTATTATTTGTTATCTGACGAGCTTTGGACCAAGGCTTGAGATACGAGGGTGGGATGAAACGTTGTTTTTAATTTTTTTTTGCTTTATTTTTCAACATGATCTCCATCAACACTCCATTCCATTCCTCTAATTTGGTTATACCAGCTTTAACCCATTTTGTTCTAGTGGTGCGTTATTGCACTACATAATCTATGATTTTTTTTTGTCACATGCAGAAAATAATTTTGCACATCCGTTTAGAAATTTTATTATTATCACTAATGAAATACAAAAAAACCGTAGAAATCGCTAATTTATGTGTAAAGCAAAGATCTTAGATATGACTTCAAAAGTTAACAAAAGCGGTACATAAACTTGTATCACATTTTCAAGTAAATCCAAAATAGTAAAAAAAAATATTTTGGATTTGTATTGCCATTTTTGTTAAGTCAATAGCATGTAGATTACATCGCAGAAAACATACATTGGAAATACTATATTGATTATACTTTATCTTTTGAAAATATTTACTGGTGCGTCGATGCACCCCTGGTTTCATCCGTGAAACAAAACTTTGTTATTGCAAGTCTAGACAAGTCGGCGGCATGGAGAATAAACAGGTATTTAACTCAAAACGAATTAGAGGCGGCTATGGAGGAGATCGTAATGGATGAGGACAATAATAATGAAAGGCGTAAGTATTACTTGGATTCACGTATTCTTATGTAGTGTAGCATTCCTTCCCTTGTAAATTTATGCTAAAAATAACATATTTACAGACCATATTGACGCGGTCCATATTCCACCCGACGTGAATACCTTGAATGACGATGAAGATATGAACGATAAAATAAAT